AACGGCATTTGGCTCAGAGGACCCATCACACAGGCTGAATGGCCTTGGCCAACAGCAAGGTCTTCAGCTAGCAACTGGTGGGATGGCCATAAGCCAGCTGCATCATCTTCCTCGCTCCTTTCCATCCACTACAAATTCTGTAACGTTGCCTCACTTTCACCATGCCTTCAAGTAATCATCACCCTGTGTGGGCTTTTCCCCCTTTTTTTTTAAAAGACTTTGCTTCTTACTTAAATCTGTTAGGACCGGGGTGGTTTTGTTTTTGTTTTGTTTTTAAGAAAAACTGCCCCAGATTTTTTCAAATCATGTTATGAACATGGTAGTTAAATTCAAGATGTTAATAAACAAGAAGCTCTATTTTTCATACTATTAGTTTTTTAGCATATGACAACAGCAGAACTAACATATTTCCCTCAGCTCCCTCTATATTTTTGTTTCTTTTCTTGCAAACAACTGAATAACTATCCTCAATGACAGCAAAGTATCATAACAGGCACAATAAAACAATGGCTGCTGCAGTAGGAGAAATACAGTTAGAGTGAATGGGAAGAGGGGGGAGATCACAAAGAAATCTATTTAATGAGCCATAAATCACAGCAGATTTGTACACATGGCAAATGTAACAAATGATTTATCAGCATCAGATAGATTTCTGTTATGCACTTAATTAATGAACTTTATTAATCTTTAGTTTAAATCACAGTCATTCCAAGAGTAAATATTACGTCCTTGTTTCACGTTCTTCAGTGGAGATCATCACTATTATGATTATGTTAAACTAGATTTTGTTTTCTGGCAGGCAGTTCAGCTGTGTGCCTCTGCTGCCTTTTTCCTAGGGCTGGAAATAACTACCATTTCTGAACAACTGTGTAAGAGCTGCTGTCTTGGAAACATGCAGTTCTCAGAATGGGAAGTGAATTGTCTCAAGTTAGAGCAAAACATTAATTTTCATTTAGAGCTGGATCTGTCAAGATATCAGACACCTCTCTCTCTCTCTTTCTCTCTCTAGTAAAGCACTTGAGCATTTGCTTAAATTTAAGCTTATGATATCCTGTCAACAGCTTGATTAATTTAACACTTAATAAAAAATCATTCATCCTACCTAAGGGGCCTTTATTCACCTTTTGTTGATAAAAATGACCATTGTTTAGTCTGGGAAATGATTAATAATTGTAACCATCTGAAAATATGGGCTTTCACTGAAATCCAGCCCTGGCCCAAGTGGGACCCCTGTGGAGCCAGGGGCAGATCCATGCACAGAGGGGCTGTGGTGGTGAGCTATTGCTAAAGGGCATGGAATGATTCACACGGACATGTCTCAAGGGTATGACAGGAAAAGAAGTAGCTTTATTTTCTGACTCCAGTATTTATAGATTCTTGACAATGACCAGGGATTGGATAATTAAGTTACCACCTTCCCAGTCACACTGGTCATGCGAAGTGTCCATCAAATATGTTTCTTAGAAGGAATGTGTAAACACTTATGTTTATAGTTACTTTCCTGGGAAAGTAACTAAAACTATGAAAAACAAGATCAGAAGGCTTAGTTTTCAGGGCAACAGTGAGTTGACATTGAGCCCTGTGCAAAACCAGTTCTGAACCTGCCTTACAAGTGCCAGCTGAAATTAGCAGGTGTGATGATGGTTGGGGCTGTTTTACTCATGGGATTTCTGCTCAGAAACATTGGGGCTGCTGCAGTTGGACTCCAGCCTTTCTTTCTTGCAGACTAGAGCTATGGGGACTTCTGTTTGTCAGTGAAAAGTTCCTGTGGACAGTGTGTTGGTGTGACAGTCCTATCACCTGATGCATGAACAAGCAGAAATTGTAAAAATCACATGTTCCAGTAGATTACATTATTAAACAAAGAAACAAACTCTTCACAATTTACTTTGTTGCCTAACCAATAGTTACAAAAAAAATAATCATGGTTTTAGTGGATGGCTCAGTTATTAATGGATTCTGTTTCATCTAAAACAGACACAGAATTTCTGAATCTGAGTAAATTATCAAACCCCAAGAACTACTCTTCTATTAAATCCAAAGAGATTTGATAGTACCCAATGGTCATTACTAATATAACATGGAGCAAGCATATTCTCTTCTCCCTCATTAATCACGGGAATATTTCTGGAGAGCTTCAAATAAAAAATAATTTTTATGTGATTGCTGTTTTGCTGTTACTGAGCAATGGATCATTGTAGCTGTACAATGTCACTGAATATTCTTACAAGCTGATCGGTACTTGGATCAAGGACTGTCTTATTGCCTTTCATGAGAGAATATGTTCTGCAGATGCAGTGCTGAGGGTTTTTTTTAAAATTTATTTTTATGAAAATGTTTGGCATAAGACAAACCAAAAGGAATTTTAAGGTCATTCCGGTAATGACAACAGCAGGAGGAGAACAGGTACTGCACAGTCATGTCCAGTGAGTAGTTATTTAAATTACGAGTTCCAGAATAGGGAACAGGCTGCAAAGAGTCTTATATGCATGTTCTACAGCTAGGCTTGTATTTTCATCTGGACTTGGAAAGGTGTGTGTGTGTGTGTGTATATTCATTTAACTGTATTTTTTCCCTGTTTGTGCAAATTGTATTTACTTGTCTTCAAGCAAGCTTATGTACTTGTAAAAAAACCCAAAAAACTAAACAACAACAAAAAATTCTTTGCTACAAAAAAAAATTATAGCACTGCCTGATCATACACATTTTGTTATTTTGGTTTGTGCTTTTATAAGAGGTGTCAGTGATTAGTGAAAAACTTGTCCTTGAATTTAAATGTGGTGTTAAGAAGCAAACATTATGCAGACACTGAGCACATTCTTTCATCTGCTCTTTCAGCCCCCGGGGCAGGGTACCTGAGCTCAGGCTGCCAAGAGAGGTGCTGCTGCCTGATCTCAGCCTCTTCCAAAATATGGAAAGATGATAAGCATTTCTTACCAATGCACATGTAGCTACAGGTTAAAGACAGTTTCATTCAAATAAAAAGGAAGTAATGACTTTTGATCCATTTTTAAATACTTTAAAAGAACACAGTGGTGCTGTCTGCAAGTAAAGCACAGAAGCAAACCTTAAATGTGCAATGCTGCTTAAACCCATCAGGCCATTCAATTCTCTTTTTCCAGATTCTTGATATCATAAATGTAGCAGAAGCTGATGATGTCCCATGACAAAGAAAGGCATTATTATTTCAAAAAGTTATGTTGTCAAATACAGTTGTTTAAAAATTCTTGCAACTCGAGAGACATGAGATACTCCCAAGTCATCCAATACTGTAAGTGGGACTGGACATTCTGAACGTGTTTGTTAGGGAGACCTCTGTGAGCATTTCTCAGAGGCCATCAGTAGCTGAGGCTCAAGCTGCAGGACATCTCTCTGGTGGCACTGCCTTTGGCTGCTGCAGGGCTCTGACAGCACCAGTGTGGGGAGAGGCAGCCCCACATCCACTGGGGGTACGGTGGAGGAAGGCAGTAGCCCAAGCACTGACCAGTCCTCCCTCTTTGGCACAGCCCATTCCTCCTCCAAATGTGAGAAGCGGATCTAAGGGCAGAGAACTGCCATGGAGAAGGTAGGATAGGCCATGGCACAGCGGCTAAGAGGTGGGACAGAAAGATCTGTGTGATCTTAGGATATTTTAACTCACATTCAAGTAGAGATAAAAATACTCTTTTATCTGAACTCTGCTTGAAAACCTGTAGAAGCAGAGCAGTATGTGGTGAATAAACAACAGAATCACTATAATCAAATCATACTGTAAAAGAACAAAATCCCATCCTCTATCAGAAACCAAGCTTATTTCTTTTTCCTTCAATTTGTTTACCAACTTTTCCTGTTGGAACTTTCTATTTCCTTAGTCAATGGGTTGCTGTTACTTTCAGAGAATTTTTCATAGCCAGTCTGAACTGGGGTGGTACATTCCATATATTCATGATTGGTTCATTTCTAGTGGAATTTTAAAATGCTTTTCCTCAATACACCACTCCTGCCCTTATATATTTTGGTAAGATACTAGAAACTAAGCTGTGAAATCCTACATTTCTGTACACAGACAGAAAATAATGCATAACAACAAGTACAGTAAAATTTGCTCTAAATTTGAGGATTCATTTATTTGGTTAAGGAAAGCGACTGTGATAACATTGCACAGTACAGTTTGGAATGAGTTTAGGGTGTTTTCCCTCTTCTTCCTGGACTGAAAGAAAGGCTAAGCAGCACTGTTCTAATATAGTGGCACTACTGTTGTGCCTGCTTTTTCTAGCTCTAGGAGTTACAGTTGCTTCAGTGTTATCCTTTCTGTATCCATCTAATCACTATTATATAGAGTCTAAGTAGTTTAATTAAACTCTTTAAAATATGGTATTTATTACTGCTGTGTCCAGCTACTTTTTATCTTCATTTACTTAATAGGCATTTAATAGGTAAGAAAATTCCTTATGGATTTTAATTGAAAGCCTTAATGAAAATTACTGGGTTAAAAAGCCCCTGTTTGTTGCATCACTGAAAGTTTATGCAAGGTGATCCAAGGCTGAGAATGGATCAAGTGACCAAAAATATAAGAAGGAATGTACCTCCACAACATTTCTGTCTTGGTGAACAATTTTTAAAAGCAATTAAAGTGTTTAATGCAAGAATGAGATTTGTTTTTAGTCTGAACTCAAAGTGCTTTGAAGAGATGCACAGCATACATGGCCATTTATCATGTATCAATCACTATCATTTATTGTTTACTGGAAGAGTCTATTAAATATTCACATGAACTTCCACAATGTTCACTTGTCTTGTTCAATATATCAAAGCATTAGGGGAAAGAAAAGGAAAATCACATGGTACTGGATCTTCCTACATTTTGTTAAAACCACTGAATGAACTGCTGGTAATGTCCACCCCTCTAGGCAATCATTTAATTGAATCTTGGCAACAGATACAAATAATCTCACAGCTTTAAAAAGGATAGCATAATAAGATTTGTAGCCTGGAGAGAAAAACCCTGACCAAACCTGAGCCAGTGAATTGCAGCTTGCTTATTTTATTGGTAGCTGTAACATTCCGGGGGGAAGTGGTGCTGAAAAATTGTGTTGCTTAAGATCCTCCATAACGTGTCAGAAGGAAGCCTTAACACGTCCTTGTCAACCAGTCACTCTTTTTTTCTGTTGTCCGCTTGTGGTCTAAAAGCAGCAACAAGACATAGACTTGTTATTTCTTATTATAGAAAGAGCTTTTATGATTTACTCCGTTTTCTCTAAGATTAAATCTGTGTTCGTGGGAAGGTGATGGAGCAGCTCATCCTGGAAACCATTTACAGGCACATTTAAGGATGAGATCATTTATTTGCACCACTCAAAACCAGGTTCTCACATCTGCTTTCTCAGCTAAAAATGCTCTTGGGTAACACTGAAACTGATTTCTCACGTGCCCAAAAGTGCTCTGTAAAGCACCTGGCCAAGCTCAAGTTTTCCAGAAAATGCTGCAGCACGTGCAAGTTCACCTAGACACCTAGACCAGTCTTTTTCACGTTTCCACTGTCCTCTATTTTAGATGGGAGTGTGGATGTCTGTGCTGGGGGCAATGGCTGTCCCAAGCCTCTGCAAACTGGCTGCAACTACAACCCCAGTGATACCTGGAATTGCCAGCATCCCTAGGGAAAGGAGGTGTCAAGACTGCTGAAGCCCCAGGTTTCCGAATTCAGTGGCTAAACCTTGAGAATGGCAATGGTATCAAAAAATCCCTGTTGGTGTGATAACCACAGGAATTACTATGCTGCTAACATAGTCCCAGGTAATGCAGATGACACCACTGGGTACTGACAGCAGTTTTCCTCTAGCTGGCAAAGGCAAGGAGGTGGGTAGAGCTGATAATGGCACTATGGACTGGACACTCCTATGCCCACTGCAGTCTTCCCCACAGCTGAAGGATTCAGCCACTGATCGGCAGCAACCAAGGACAGTAGAACTGCACACAGAAGAACTGCACACAGAAGAACTGCACACAAGAACCCTGCAACAACTTTGACTGTGAGTTTCTGCAACTGACTGTTTTGTGCACATTCCTTTTCATCCTATGCTCCTAGAGATGGAGCTCTTGCTTGCTCTCACTGGCTTCTGTCCCAGGCTCAAAATACCTTGCCAGCTACAGGGAATCATTCTTGGCCACATTTCCTGCTAAGAACTCGTGTTCTGCAGTTGTATACATTTCAGAGGGGTGCAAGATGCTGACCCATCTGAGCCATCCTCTTGAGCACCACAACCACCTTAAACAGGGGCTGGAAGGGTTTCTTGCTGCTCTGACATGAATTGGCAAATCCAGAAATGGGAACCCCTGTGACTGCATGGTCTGAGGAGCAGGAGCACCAAACATCATGGTCTGGGAAATGAAACATTGAGAAGAAGGAAGAACCTTCCCACTGTCATCCTGACATAGCTGTTACTGAAATGAATGCTGGCACCTCCCACACTTGGACAATGGAATCACATTGTAAGTGCACAAGATCTGCTGGAGGGGTTTGCACTGTTGAGTAGGAAATCCTCTCAAGATGTCTGTTACAGCAGAGCACAGTCGCTGCTTACTTGGGATGGGGCTGTTCCAAATCAATGAACATTCAACACCAAAACTGGTATTCTCTGCAGCCTACACTGGGGCCCTGAGGAGCTCTGCAACAGGTTTCAGTGAAATTGATTGCTTCACTTAATACAAAGGAGAATATACTGCAAACATGGCAACAGGATATTCTACATAACAAAAGCAAACTTTTTTTTTTACATTATAATATTGAAATAAAAAATAATAGTAATTTCTTACCCAAACTTTCCTGGAGAATTTTTCACAGCAGACATTGACACAGATTTTCCTGTTTTCTTCATTATATCTGAAGAAGTCTCTGCAGATCATTATTTTTGAAATTTACTTGCCATAAAACATGATAATCTACATAAATTCTCAAACCTCAGAAATGTAGGGATCAAAGATACTGATACAAGGAGTAGTATGTATTATCATTCACAGGTTATATTACAAATAACTTTTAAAATAACTTAAAATCTTCTAAACATAGATTGATACTATCTATGATTACCAGTAGCAATGGGTCCTAGAAAACATATTATGTGGTATCCTGCTTAGAAGGAACTATTTTAGGGAGGTGGTGATGTTAATTTTAAGGCTGAATCAACAAGGGCATTTGGAACAAACAGTACACACAGCTTTGTACCTCATCTAAATGGACTTAAGGTAAAAAGGATGGAGTAATTCTCAAAATTGAAAATTAAAGGTTATAGACTTCTTTATGGGCAAAAAGAACGTCAAAGCCAGACTGTATATTTTAGGTCTATATAAATAGTTCTGTTTGAGGACCTCTGACTGAAAAGGCATTTGGGTCCCTCCTGGAGACCCAAATTAAAATGTCTGTGCATACAATCCACACAATGGATCAATTTAATGACCAGGAAAGCCATTCACTATCAACAACATCCACTTGGAAATTTTTGTCCTTTCTCATTTATAGCAAGTGAGTGGAAATGAGTTTAGGATTTAATGTCAGGACTTGCAAAGAAAAAAAGCCCAGCAAAAAAAGTAAAACTTTAAAATTCTACATTATTCTATCAGAAAACTGGTTTCTGAAGCCTACCATCTGCTTTAAGAATGCCTCCCCCACCTCAAATACCTTAGAGTTATAAGAAAAACATAAATGCGACTAAATTAACTCTTTGCCTGGCTTACGTTTGTCTTTTTGTCCTCTCTCCAGAAGTGCTGACACAGAAAGTGTTAATGTTGGAGTCCTTTTCTCAGTCAGTGTTTGCTTGTCCTAGTAAAAAAAGATGCACAATCATCACACAACTCTAGCAAGGAGCTTGTAGACCCTAGTGAAAACTCTCCAAATTGCTTTTGAAGCAGTGCTAGGAAGGAATGGGCCTTGTGAGAGGTCCACCCTCTCACATTTGCAAGCCATTTTTCCTGCCCCAAATAGGTAAAAAAGAGTAATAGGATTTTTCAACATCTTAAAAAAATAAAACTAAAACAAAATCCCCCCAAACCAGCAGTACTCTCCTAAAGGAACTGTTTATTTTCTTTTCTATAACAGAACAGGATCTCACTTCAAAACACTGATGATTAACTCTACTTTTCTGATTCCCCCAAGAGGTTCTGCCCTTTGGCCTTGTGTCTAGTGACCAGGGAATAGCAAACCTTCCAAGAGCAGGGAGCCCTAAATGACAGGAAGAGCTTTCTCAATGTACTGCAAAAGCTGCCAGGTTTCTGATTCTCTACAGCTGTTACCCTGGAATATAACTGCAGAAGGGTCTGAAGAAGTTGTTGTCCCAAGTTTTTTGTACTGTCATATTCTGTCACTTTTTTAATCAGAAGAAGGACTCCAGTTATGGGCAGCTCCTAGATGATATTCAGTATGTGTCTTGCTATAAGAGTTTATCAACTTCCCTGGAATTTCAGGTCTTATATTAATATAGGTCCTTAATTACCACAAACTACAGTTCAGCAAATCTGCTTCCAGGACAAGACAAGTGTGACTGTGTTTTTGCTTACCAAAGCCTTTCTGGTGGAGTTTGCAGCATGACAGCCAGCTTTTTCTTCACAAAACTCCATGTCCCTCTGCTGTGTAAAGCTTTGAGAGCAGCATGAACGTTCAACTGACAGTAAGAAAGAACAGCTTGTGTCAGTTTATACACTACAGGAGAAGAATTCCCCTGCTTTACTGGAGCACTCAAGATGCAGTTCAGCACCTGGCCCCACCAGCAGGTGAATTTCCATCAGCTTCCACAGTACAAACTTAGTAGAACTACAAAACCTTCCTCTAGAAAAACACTTGGGACACTAAAATGCATGCTGCTTATGGTATTAACCCAGCAAACAGCAATTGCTTTTCAGGAATAAATCCTGGGGATTAATAAAAGCAGATTTTATTATCTTTGTCCTAGTCCTATGCATTCCCAGCCTCACAATTAACTAGTCTGAGCAGAGCTCCTCGAGAAGCACATGAATATCCAGGCCTCTGGCTGCAGGGAGTGTCTGAGTCTGGTGTTAAGTGCTGGAGGATAGTGGGGAAAGACACCTGCATGCACTGTGAACAGCTGGATGATCTGCTCAGCCTGGTGGCAGAGCTTAAAGAGGAGGTGGGGAGGCTGGGAAGTATCAGAGAGTGCAAAAGAGAATTAGACTTGAAGGATCACACCCTTACATCCCTGAGAGAAATGCAGTGGATGGAAGATCAGCAAGAGTCTGAGGAGCTTGGCTTCTCTTGCCATCAAGCTGAAGAAGAGACATAAAAGCAGGGAAATGGAAGCAGATCCCTGCTCAGGGAGGCAGAAGAATCCCCTGCTGGCTTCCCTTGCCTTCCCAGGGTTTCTTACAGAATAGATGTGAAGCCTTGGATCTTGAGGGTCAGGCAGATGACAGTGGAGAAGAAGCTCTGTCTGGGGGGTGCCCCAGATCAATGCAGTCAACCAGATGGATAACAACCACAGGCAATGGTTGTGGGAGTGTCCTGTATGTCAACCAGACCCGTAGCACAGGGAAATCTGCTCCTTGCTGGAGCCTGGGTAAGGGAAATTACCAGGAGACTCCCTGGACTAAATTCAGCACACTGATTACCACACCCTAGTGATTGTCTAGGTGGGCAGCAACAAGGACATTTGGTCATAGGTCAGAATCAATGAACTCAAGAGTTTTTTTCAAACCTAATTGATTCTGTGATTTAGCAAAACACTGCTGGAGCAGCTGTGCCCCATCAGCTGAGGCACATCCAAGAGCCAGCTTTCTGGCTGTGAAGCAGCATTGTGAAGAACATGCACTGGTGCTCTCTAAAATCTTTTTTGACAGCATTACTGTCCTGATTCTGCTAAAAGCTCTTCAGCAACTGTTATGGCAGGTACAATCCAACTCATTTCAATGAACAATCAATGTTCAGGATCCAGGCACATTCAGCCATCACACTGCCCTTGATGTTCTCAGACCCCTCCTCCTTGTCCAGTGCCTTTTAGAAAAGCAGCCCAAGTGTCTTTATCTTAATACTAAAGATACAGCATGTTTACAAATGATGTCTCTCAGTAACAATATAGAAAAGATAGCTCAAACAGCCACCCAAAGCCTTCTCCTGACCAGTAGCGTGGGCAAAACAGTTCAGAACATAGGGGAGGGGGGGATGAGACCGGGCAGATACCTGGCTTCAGTAGGTGTTCAGCAGGGACACCTGGAACTTCAGGGGAGAGTGGGGAGTTCTGGGCTCTATTTGGAGGAGGACAAGACAAAAATGAAATCTTTCTTTCCTTCCCACAATCCATGTACTTTTTCACATACTAGGCCACTCAGCAATTTGTCCTTCCTAGAAAGCAATTCTCCAGTTCCCTTCTCCACAACTACCGCTGCTCTTGCAAACCTGGATTCCTCCAGGAGGGAGAAGGAAAGGAAGGGTCTGCTCTTAGAGTTGGTAAAGTATGACCAGAAATAACAGAGTCATTAAAGAGCTGAGCAGTGGAAATTCAGAGAGAAGCTTGACCCCAATCGAGGAAGGAAGATGTGTCCTGCTGCTTTATATTGCATTGCTGTCATCTAGGAGAGGAGAGAGGCTAGAATCATGGCAGCTGCTCTTGCTATCAGTCAGGAATTCCTGCTCTGGAAGTGAGCCCAAAGAGCCCCTCTTCTGCTCTCTGCCTTCCTGACACAGGCAGGACTCCACTGAGACCCTTTTCAAGATTGCTCCCACATTTTATAAATCACACTATCATGAGATATTATCTTTGTGTGCTTCTTTTTGGATCTGGAACTTTTAGCACAGGGACTGCAACTTCTGTGCAGAGGCTGAAGCTGGTATTAAGTAGTAAACCAGACCTGTCCTTTTCTAAATGCCTTTCCCTGTCTGCAAAGCTGGGTGGAGAAGTGGACGATGCAAAAGCCATCCCGTGGGAGCGGGGAAGCCTGTGTACACTACTTGTTTTGTGTGGAGAGAGGATGTATTTCACCCTCTATTATAGGATAGTACAGCTATCCTGACTCTCCTCCTGAAGTTTTAATATCAGACCCCAGACTTGCTGCCTTTAAGTTTAAAATGTATGGTTAGTTTTCTCTGCCTCCCCACTGCCTCTGTTTGCATTCCTACTCAATTCAAGCCAAAAAATAGAGCTGAAAATTAGAGCCTATGCAGGGAATTAAATGTTCACATTCTGTTGTGCCAGGGTTGCAAAACAATCCCATCTGTGGTTAATAAGATGTCACTGCCTTATCAAAGATCAGTACAAGAACTGCAGTAAGAAAACAGACTACAAACATGGATTGGTGCTTGGTGGGGGAGAAGGTGGCCCTCTTTCACAGCTTTTGTGACCTGCTTGGCTGATTGAATAGTATTAAGAAAATACTCAGAATGCTGCTTCCAGCTAGATTTCTTCCCTGACTGTTTCTGTAGTGGCAATAGGAGAAGACATAAATTACACTTCCCTCTTGCAAAGGATAGAAGTATCTTAGAGCAAGGGCTCTTTTTTTTTTTTTCAGAGGGAAAAAGAAAACATTAAAAACAAAATAAATTTACTGTTTTTGAGAGGCACATGGAACCAAGAGCACTTAGGAAGGATTAGAAAAGACACCATGACCAACATCTTCCATTCTCTTTTTACTTTAAACCTTTGTCATATTCTTTTTACTTTAAACCTTTGTGTACTTCTATCTCTTTCCACTGATTTTAAATGACATTTTACAACAGCAGTAGACTAAATCAATAGCAAATTGGCATCTCTGGGTAAAATAATATCCAGCATGACCATATGTATTCACCTTCTCCCCAGCAAAATTACTTGATCCAGCAAGTGCTTAAGCATCTTCTCCTCCATCTCTGTAAAAAAGTTCAGCTCACATACATTTTTAAGCCCTTCAGTAAAATGGCAGTGAATCTCTGCAACTTCATCTGTGAAAGGGCAGCTCTCAGGTTCAACCTTGGGCATGCATTCATGCATCAACTATCTTGAATCATGCTCTCAGGTTTAGGTGAAGAGAAATCTATTAGAGATTCACATTGTCTTTAAAATAGATATTTGAATATTCACTCGAAGAGCAGAGACACGTGCCACGGGCAGGCATGACATCTACTGATTTGGCTTCTCAACAGAGAAATATTCCCAAACACTAGCAGCACAGGGAGGGGGAGGAAAGAATTTGGCACCCAGTCAAGCACACATGTGAGACTCATCTACAACATCCAGGCTTTGTCCTTGGAGGAAACAATAGTGTTACTGGATGAAAGACTTCATATGGAGATAACACACACATACTTCAGTTTTAACTATACATTTTGCAGGGGCTGCTTCTTCACAGTGGTTATTTCTCTTTCTATACCACTAGAGTGGTATAGTCTCTGTTTCAAGATGCTGAAGGGCTTGCACTTCCTGTTGAAGGTTTTCTTGGAATACTGATCAGCCGGGATGTAAGGAAAAACCATTGTTTATGGGTTGGAGCGATGCTTTGTTAATGATGCTTTCTTACACAGGCTTTAAAATTACTTATACTCAGGAGCAGGATGCTGCAGCAGTATTTATTTTGGCTTCAGTTTAACTCCTGAAGGACTTCATAAAAACTTTAAAAAGCTGTCCAAGTACAGCAGTGGTTCAACACAAGTAAGAAATAGAAGCCATTTCCAGTTTGTTCTGCTCAGGGATGGGCTGGAGAGCATTCCAAATAATGACATGCAGAGAAGAACAGATTGGGTCTGTGAACAGGAGCTGTCCATTAGACTTCCCCACACACACACCTGGTTATCCTTCTTTCCTAGCTAACAGGGAGAACAGTCTGATCCTGTTTAAGAGGTCAGTATTGTCACTGCTAGCTCCTTGAGTTTAGATGTGTTCCACAGGGGGGTCTCCCCTGATGAACAGCAGTGCTGTCCATCCCGCCAACCCCACTGAAAGAGTCACAACCCCTGAATGGGAGCAGCTGCTTACCAGCACCTGTAACCTGACAACACAGAAGGAAAATTATGGATAACTCTGGCAGCTGGAAGCACAGGGAAATTTTAGGTAGATATGATATCCAGTGCCAAAGCTGTGGAAGAGCCATGCCTCACAATAAAAGAGTTCGTAAGATTCAGAAGTGTCTCAGATTTTAGCATCACTCTGACTCTTCTGCAACAGGATGGGTAATGTTCTTTGTGAGGGAACGGCATGGAAGCAAGGACCAAACTAAAGCCTCTTTCCTGCACTGTGAATCTAATGAGTTCATCCACAGCTGGTAGATTAAAGACCCCGTTCTCATCTTATTTTGCTTACTTCCCGTTTCTAATTCTCAGTTATTTTCTTGATCTTCTAATTAATTTCTCTATGCTGTCCACTCTCGTTCCATAGGAATTAAGCAGATGCTCAAGCAAGCCTTTTTGGTTACAGCTCAGATGAACTAAAACACACCTCATGCTACTAAAACAGACTTTTCTAAAGCCTCATTTCCCTTTAAACCTTCTTCTCATATGATTCAGGTCCTTACTGTCTGCTTCTAGACATTTTTAACAGCAAACTTGAGAGGAACACTCCTCTGCAGTACCAGAAGAGCAGCAGATACCCATGCCTTGCTCACTGAGGAGCAAACCAGTCCTGCATCATTAGGGCACAGAGAGCCATCACAGGACTTGGATCTCACACTAATCACAGTGACACAAAACTCCTCATCTCTCATAACACAGAGCTCTCTCTTTACAAACTATTTTGCTAGATAAAAATATTATGCACTTCATGTATCTTGAGATACCAAACATGGCACTACTAAAGCAAAGTAATCCAACCATTGTCTTGGTTCTTGCAGTCACCCCTGTTCCAGTGTACTTTTTGTTTTTTCCTTGCCAAATCAGTTTTTAGCACTGTTGCAGGGCTGATCTGATCTACCACAAAGACACAGGATCAGTACCACAAACTGAGGAGCAGAGGGATATGTGCAGAGCCCCACTCCTTGCAGAAAAACCCTGCATTTGGGTTGTGCCAGGAAAACGCAGCCACGCATTCAGTTTTATAATTCAGGGATCAGGGAGGTCAAGGGGAATCTTTTCATTCACTTGAGCAGGCTTTGGAACAGAGCCTGGTGCCCACATTATGCTGTCAAAGGGACTACTTTTCAGATGGTTTATTAGTCTATTTTTTTCCAAGAAGACTGAAATAACAAATTCAGCCTAAAACCCTGGAACAAGAAGGCAAACTGCAAGCTAGTAATTTATGCCTCACCAAGAGAGCATACATTATTTTAAATTCAATGTATAGTAAATATGGTTTTGGACAAGCAGGTAAATTAAGACAGTGCAAGACTGAAGACGAATTCACTGTGTGTCTGTGCATGATAAATTCTCTAATCAAGTTCACTAATGAAAGCAGTTACTAGATAATTTGCTGTTTTAAACTTGCTCAATCCACTCCTCTACCAGCAGTCATGTCCTCCTTCCCCAGTGTTCATTACCCATTTCAGCTAAATGCATTGAAATTCCCATTAAAAAGGAGGGCGTTTTACCACAAAATATGCCAAGTGTTTTCCACAGGTTGTAGAAGGAGCCAGACCTTGACTTCAGGCAGCTGTGCAAAATGCAAAGCATGCAAGAGTCTTGGTTACACAGCACAGGATGTCAGGACTGCAGCAGAGTCGGCACTTGGACAGGGCTCTTGCTGGAACAGTACTTCATTGTCAGAAAGGGACATCTCCATAGAATTACAGAATATCCTGAACTGGAAAGGACCCAAGGGTTATCAAATCCAACTCTCCTGTTGCATACCAGGGTTCCCTTTTGCAGAGCTCCCTCCTGATTGATCCTGTTCTGACAAGGCTCTCCTTTGCTGTGAGAGGCAGCGTTCTGTTTTCCACATGACTGCTTAGGTATGTGCTTTCACAGTGACATCACAGTTGGCTGAAGAGATGGTGGAACAACAGTTAAGTTCATCACTGCCTAAACTCAGGGTAGGTGACCTGCACCCACCCACATGTATGGTTTGGATGCCAGCAGGAGCTAGTGATACCCAGTAATGGATTAGGTAGAAAGTATCATGCAAAGTACGGCATGATCTTCATTATTAAGGTGGAAAGCTTCCATGATATGCTAAACAGCATTCCAAGATCATCTTACTTTGCAGATGTTAAATTTGTTGAGATTTGCATTTAAATTACCTTTTAAAAAAAAAAAAATAGTCATTACATTTATATGGAAATAGTTTCAGGCCCTTTTAACTCCAAACACAATCACACTCTGAGAGCAGAGACATGACTTCTATTAAACAAAAACAGCCTCTAGGAAAACTTCAGGAAAAAGAGAGTCCTTTTCATTTGACTTGTAACTTACAGAGGTACTTCATTAAATTAACTTCTGTAATGACTTCTCATGTAAGTGTTCTTTACCTGCTCTTCCTATAACAAAAGAAATCCTTGTCTTGCCAAGCAGATGAATGACTGCTTTTGTTTCTTACTTTTTCCTTGGGATTTTACCACACTCCAAAGCAGTTAAGGTTACTGCAGTGTTTCACTGATTACAAGTGCAGAGGAACAAAGCAATTCTGTAATCTTTTTGACTCCTTTCCTATTGTCTCTGTTTAAATGTCTTTCCTCTTTTGTTTCCAAGCAACAGCTGTGTCTGTCCTTAGTCTGGACTATACTCTTCCAAGTGCCTTCCTCTGCCTCCCCCACGTCTTTATTCTGTTCTCATCCCCTCAAGGGTTTATTGATTTTTTTTCTTTTTTTTTCTTTTTTTTTTTATATTTTAAAGGACTTTAGATATAAGCACAGTATCACTGAATCAGTAATGAAAAATCTAGCAAAGAACATGTGCACTGGCTTTAGTGTAAGATTGTCCTTTTTGGTAAAGCACAAAATCATATTCCACTCCAAAGCACTGAACAGCATCTGTTACTTACTTGTTCCATTGAACTTATTTCCTGGTGTCTGACTCATCTCACCAGAACTGCTGCTCAGATTTCCTTTTCTGTTTTGTTGTCAGGAGTACCGAGTGGTCAGTATTCCAGTTACCATAGAATCAGTGATTACACAATTGGCAATTATGACACAGGCAGACACAGCTGAAGCTTGTCAAACACATGAAAACTAGTACAGGTATCAGCTAAAGGAAAATCCTGAAACTTTTTCTAATCTTACAGATTGTTTCTATTGATTCTGTTATCAGACAGTAGTAGAAAATGAAGGCTTAATCTAGATGTGTATACTGAAGTGATACTTTAGCTTTCTGAGCAGTGACAAGAGGTGCAGATTCAAATGCCTCTATTTCCCCCTGCAAAACTGTTACTTTACCAATTAAAATATATCATAAAAGCCTTCTTCCAATAGAAACAGGTATTTTGAATTGTTTCTGTACATTAAAAGACTTCATCAGTCCCTGTTAGCTTGTCTCCATCTATTATTCACAAAACTATTGGAGGAATATTGAAGATGCTTTGAATCCACCAGCAGTCAGGCCACTCCACTGATGTGTTTGTTACCACGTCCCTTCCAGTAAAAAGGCTAACTTTTCACATAAAGGCAGATTTCTCTGTCTGTAACATACAGACATGAACCCGAGGGGTTTTTTACGAATACAGAAGGATTCAGAACTGACTACAAATCCTATAAATTTCATTCACATTATGGACCAGTCACAATCAAAATAACTCATGTTCACAGTATAAATATTTAAGTTCACCCCAAACCTACAGATTTTGGCCCTCAGCTCACCTTTAGGAAGTTTTTACAACAGCAGTAGTGGGTACTAAGTTTGTATTCCAATTAAACCAAATTTAACACAAGACCTGAGGAAGATATTCCAGAAACACTAAGACAGTGACTATCTGCAAACACAAACTATTTATCCAAGTATCTGCTGTTTGTTTGCCATCCTGCTCACACTGAGTACTTCCAGCAAAGCCAATTCCAATGGCAACATTAACAGTCACTGAGTGCTGTAACTACAACACTCCTTGTGACGGATTTTATTTGCCAGGAAATGTAAAACTCACATTAGGTAACAGGGACATCTAGCTACAAAACAGCTTTCCAGACACCTTTGTTTACAAAAGGCTTCCATCATAGTACCAAAACAATAAATAACCTACCCAAAAATAAGAACCAAGGAGTGGGTGTAAATTCCTTGACTTACAAAACTGTATCATAGCAAGGAACTATATTCAACCATCAGTATAAGAGGGAGAAGACATAAATGAAAATACTGTTTTGTAAACTGAAATAATTTAATAGAAGAATCTAATCAGATCAAATCTGTATTGCTGATTTGTTGAATACATTCAACAATTACATATATAACTCTGTTCAGTGATAACTTGTAGGAAAAATATTCATAATTTTAATACACTTTTACTGTAATGAAAGTTTGCAGCAGTTGCCATGTCACTCATGACAGAATAGATATTGCCAGTACCTTATTTTATATAGAATTTCACTTCAGAAAAAGTGACAAGTTACAGGATCTTGTTAGTGAGATTTGAACAACCCCCTTTGAGCAGGACTGGCAGAAGTGTGAGTCAGCAGTTCCCTTCTCAATACAAATGAAAAATTAGGGTTGTCTCCACAGTTTCATCAGGACAGCTTCAGACCTTGCACATTTTGTTTCAGATTGAGCAACTCTTTCTCTTGTCTTGTTTTCTCCTGTTTGAAGGCCAGCTTGTTGGCTTTCTTCTCCATTCTGCGTTCCTTTACATAGGATTAATGAGAAATTTAGTAAATAGGAATTAAAATGCAAAATCAAACCATTCCAATAACTTCTAAATCATGAAAACAGCAATCTGGTCAAAACCATTATTTATGGCACTAATTATTAGTAGTCAAATTAGTATGAGTACAAACAGGATAAATATCTTTGGTTAGTTGAAGTTTCTGATATGCTGGCAATTTCTGTTCCTAAATAAGACAGCTAGGATTACATTGTGGCCAATTAGGATTTTCCACATTTCTTTCAGATACTTTTCACTTTGTGTGATCTGAGACATTGTAACTATTTCCTTTGCTACTCTAGGTTGTAAAGAAATCTGATATTCATTCAGAAACTGTATCTGCAGTAGCAGCCACAGTAAACGACCCCAAGTTTTGACACTGGAAACCAGTAAGCCAAAAGTATGATGGTAACTTTCTTTCCAGTAGATTTTTTTTTTTGCAAAGAAGCAATAATTAGTCCTTCGAGACCAACAAGTTTTTCCCATTACCTTCAGACATGACAAGTGAGCTTCAAACAAAGTTTGTAAGACAGAATTCAGGTAACATAAAATGCTTTGCAAGGTTTTATTTGCAGTCAGGCATACCTTTCGCTCCTCTTTTATTGCCTGTTTTCTGGCTTTGCGATCCTCTTTGCTCTCAGCTTTGGAACGAGGCTGTGTTGATGCTTTTGGCAGGTCACTGCCATTTATCATTTGCATGCGTTCCACCTGCTTAGCAGTGAGACCTCTCTGAGGCAAGATGTGTAGGGGAATTCCAGTCTTCTGAGAAATTTTTATTGGCTTGGGCTAAAATAGGGAGTGCATATGAATTAGTGGCCCCTAGCTTTCTCTCCAAAAAGTGCACATGGCACTGCCTTATCAGTGTAAAAACTTCAGATCCAGATTTAACAGTAATAAATGTTAAGTCTCCTCATACTATTTAACTCCCTCACAAAAACACACATTAATCCCAAAGTAAGAAACCAAAACATCTGTGACAAAAATCTGGCCTTCCAGAACGAGTAACACATTTTTATTTCACCATTACTGAAAAAATAAAGAACTTAAGTAGTTACTTAATATTCCCTTATAAGTTTGCAAGAGAAAGGCTCCATTTCAAATTTGGGGATATTGAGCTGTGCTCTAATGATAGGGAAGACATGGAAGACAAAAGAAGTAGAATAAATTGTTTCAGACCACAGGAAAATAAACCTGAACAAATATGTGGCTGGGAGACACAGGTTACACAAAGGTGTCTCACAAACAGCAACAAAGGAAATTCCTTGCTCTGTTTCTGCCTACCTATTGGAGAAATTTTGAATTAACTCAGTTTTCCTTTTAATAAGAAAAAAATATATCCAAATTCTTCCTTAGTGAAGAAATAATATCAGAACCCTGCCCAACCCTCATTTCTGCTCCCTGTCTTTGAAAACAGATACCCATTGAGAAAATAAAGACATGTATCTCAAGTTTGCCCATTGTTATTCATCAGAGTAAGTTTATTAATTTTACCTTTGATGGCTCCTTAATAAGTGTTGGGTGATTATACAAGTTTGAATAGGTACCTAAGTCACAAAGAAAAAAAGAAAGTACTCAAGAAAGGCTTGCAAATAGAAATTATGAATTGTACTGCTACTTAGGTTTTGGAAATTCCTCCTGTTGTGCTCAAGAGAATAAACCATTTTACCTGAAGCACCGTCAGGAAAGTTCTGACATCATCTATCATTTACTTTGAAATCCTAAGAACAAATAAGCAAACTCCAAAATACTTACTCAAAATGGATTCACAATCCCACTTTTCTTTTGACTCCTCAATAACTACAGTTACTATTTCTTCCTTTTCTTCCTCACTTTCTTCATTTGCAGGAGAGTCCAAATCTTCATCAGGTTCAAGAGCATCCATTTTCACACAACTTTGAAAAAGTTCAGAGAAGAAATAAATACAGTTTATCTTTTTGAAAAAATTACATAATCCCAGACTCCCTTAAGTAAAGCCCCAGACCCAAGAAAGCCATTTCCAATGAAATTTTCAGCAAAAATTGAGTTTCCTTATGTAAGCCTACTCAAAATAAATTAAAAACATTAGAACAAAGACACAGCCAACAAAAGAAGTATTTCTACTTTTCAAGAGAACGAATGCCTCTAATAGATACTGCTTACATTATGTTCAACAGTTATACAAAAGGAGCATAACCTACTCAAATCAACAAAATTCCTCCACTTAATTTTATCATACAAATGGATAATTACTCATATGCAGATGCTTTTATTGTGGGATGCAATCTTTGAGTACATGAACTTGAAACAACACACCTAAAATTTTCATATAAACAGAGGATTACAGAACTACTTATGTGAAGCACTACTTCTGGGAATACATACTTCTTTGCTTTCTCTTTGTAGTAATCATCCAGGACTTCCTGCAACCGAGCATTGTCTGTGTTAATGTAACCTTCTAACTCCACATTATCTAAGGCTCCAATCTCATCTTCATCAAATTGTTCATAAAACTAAAATAAAGAAGTGGATATCTGTAATTAGACCACATTTGTCATGCAACTTCTTGATAGCTCAAAGAAGAGCCACACGTTTCTTTATATTTCCCTCTTTTTCCTCTCCCCTCTGATATGCTGAACCACCAAGCACATCTGCAGTAGGATTTCCTCCTTACTGTCAGTATTCTTTCCGCATGGGACTCACAAAGTTATAATAATATATAAATCAGCTCCTAGAAAACGTCTTTTATTCTGATGCATTATTTCAATCTATGCCTTAAGAAGTCTGTCACTGCTCAGAACAAAAGTTACACCCTCTATTTCCACCCCTCTGACATCACTTCATGAATATATACTTCACCAGGGACCTGTAAATGGTTTGCTGTGTTGAACTGAGCCTCTCAGACAAAAGTGTTAACACTAATTATGAATGCTCATATTGTCATTGGAGTAATTTTGTTTACCTCCATCAGTGCTAGGCCTTTCAATAGCAATTAACACTATAACCTGGGTGACACAAACCTCTAAATGTGCCCAGTACTAAACACATGCAAAGAGCAGTGGCTTGATGCCCTGACTACTAAAAGCAGTAAAATCAGCACAGGTATACAGGACACTGCCTGATGAAATGAAGAATACACAAAGACAGTTACACTCTTGAGCTGCCTCACCTTCTCAAATCTGTCATCCAACAGGGTTAACTGCTCATTTCGTCTTATTACTGAAGATGACATAGAATATTCGGTGAAACGACTCCTGGTTTCTTCTTGCATAAAAAGGAATTCCTTTGTTGGTCCATTAACCTCATCATCTGACAAAGGACCTTCTGAATCATAGTCTTTATCAGTACTGCAGCTATCCTTTTCATCACTATCATCTTCCATATCTTCCCATTCATCCTCATCCTCAGCATCTGGTCCCCTGAACAGAAGTATAAAATAGCTTTAGAGTCATGCATGGACCTTTACATAGCTCTGACCTATGCTGGGTTATCTGAAACAATTTGGCAGCAACAGATTTTAATCTTGAGCAAGACTTTTGTCTGAGAGCTGAAAGCATTGCTGGCTGGATGATGCAGCTGTGCACTGAGACTGAAGTTATTTTTATATTCAGCTGACATGTCAAAGCAGAAAAAAACCAGCTGCATTCTTGACTATGAAAGCAAGCAAAATTTCTGAATGTTCATGAAATTATGAGAATGATACAAAACCTAAGCAGATAAAATACAGTGGGGTATCACATGAAGCTTTTGCAAAGGTTTCAGAAACAGCCATTAGTCTTCACCAATACTATTACTGACGTCTTTTACATGCAACAGATGACAATGTTTTAAACAGTTCCAGAACACTATTATTCCAAACATTGCCTATAATCCATGAGCTCAGGGTAACAAATGAAACCCATCTCTTGGATAACACAAGAAATTTGACTTTGCAAGCTACCATCCAAATATCACAAGACAATACTTCTTTCAACACACCAAAGTATTCCATTTGAAATCTGAAACCACTGTGGCTTCCTACACCACCACATTCAACAGCAAATAGTGCCTCTCCTATTTACATATGGCAAGTATTTCAACAAAGCTCTATCTACCGCCTCTGTGGTTTATTTGCTTGTAGAACAAAATCATCTTCCAGGATATTTTCTGGATTGTCAAAGTCAAAATCATCATCAAGAGCTGCAACAATATCTGGATCAAAATCTAGCCGTGGTCCTAGAAAGTTGAAAAAACAAAACAAATATTTACATTTCTCTGAGATAATAAAGCTACTTTCCTGGATAAAAAGTAATCCAATTGGGCTGTTAATTTGCAGTTATGAAAGCTTAAATCAAAGAACCACAAAATTCCTCAAGAATAGTTGTAGATTTGACAGAAGCCAGGGCATGTCACCAATCTCTTGTCAATTTTTATCACTCAGAAAAATACATTTCCCAGAGGTCTTAAGCTTCCATAAATGTATTTTAATACAGAATATTGTAAAAGAAAAAATATCCAGGTTAAAGCACCACATGATCAACTACCAGCATTAGCTCCAACCCTAAAATTCCCTCTATTACAAAATTCTCTACAATTACAATAGAAACATTAGAAAATGTTTCTCTGATGCAATTAACAGAATTGCCTTTAGCATCCATCTGTCAGGACAGAGAGAACTGCTACAACTCCTTACTGCTATGAAATATGGAGATAGCTGTGGAGTCAATGCCCAGTGCAAACACAGATACATAACAAAAACCTACTTACAGCCTGTAACACTGAAGTAAAACTAATGAAGGAATGTAAACACTTTTACACTGCAGCATTTGAAAAGAAATTGAGTGAAAATCCAATTCCTGACTCAGATTCAAACAGACAGAATAGTAAATTAATAGTATTATCTACAGTTTTTCCCTGCTATTAGTTTTTATTTGCTACACAATAGTAAAAGCACATGGATTCACCCTTTTCAAGCAAAGCTAAAGAATTCATATTAGTGAATATCAGATTTAAGTCTCAAGTTGAAACACGGGTCTCACAGATAATTCCTTATGTCTGCTACTGAGCCTGTTCTAAGCCAAAAAAAAATATGACACCACAAGAGCAGCCTCAATTACCATCTATTTCCTAGATGGCAACTCGCATCACAAAAAGGTGGAAAATACCTGAAACAGGAGCAGCTTTATTTAACAAGCCCACGTCCTCTTCAAACTCTGTGGCAAATACCGAGGAAGGCAACTTAATGGATGGAGCCTTAGAAAAAGAAACAGAGAAACATGATCACAATGTATTTGTTCTCAGTTTCTTATTTGAGCTCATGTTAAAATCATGCAGACACTCCTGTGACCAAAAGAAACCCTGTGAGTGCTACTTAAATGTTCCAACAAGTGCTATGTTATCTGCAGCAAATTTTCAGAGTTAGACAATGACAGCTGCTTAAAAGGGCTGGCAGCATCAATTCTCATGTCAATGTTCTCCAGGTATAGAGACAATATTTTTTGCATCTCTGAAACCTTTTAGAGAATGGTTATGCAGCAGTGTCCTGGTTTAGGGCACACTGAAATTTTAAATTTTTTGTTTGTTTGTTTTGGAGAACACTAAGACACATCTGAAATCACCCCTTTACTGAAAGGCTTTTTTAAAGCTTCACAGCATGCATATCTAACCTAACTTTAAACCTTATGTAGTATCACCAAGCTGTACCTGAAAGGTACTTCTGACCAAGACTATTGGTTTTGAGTAAAAATTACAGTATTTGGTTAAATCAAACAGCCTCAGCTATAAGTGACTGGCAATGGCAAACTTTATTGCTTCAAAGCATTTACTGCTTTTCCATTCCAGCATCATGAACTTCTACAAGTTATGCCAGCAATTGAAGTTTGTTTTTATTCCATCTGGTTTCTATCACATCCCTCTTTACAAACATGGTGTGCTGATAATACAGCTTGGCACATTGATAACTCCCAGAGCATTCAAAAGTTCTAAAAAAACCTTAAAAACAAACACCCACCCCAGAAAAACACATGACTTGTTCAAACAAACACCTTTGCAAGCCATGTCTGTAGAGAAAAGTTTGTCATGGATATGTGTTGTAACACTGTGCTAGCAAAATAATGTTCATCATCAGTAAACTCTGCCTTGTCAGCTTCTGGGTTTACTTGTAGGAAAGTCTGGTTGTGGGTCAAAAGGACACTTATAAATAAACAAACAAACACATATATATATATACACACACACTTAATGTGTCTAGAGGATGTTAATGCTCCAAAGAACAGTATTACCATTAGAAAAGAAAACTACTTACTGAAATTCTCTGAATTTCATCTTCTATGTGCCCCTCACTTGTGATGACAATTCTGCTTTGCTGTCCACGCACAGATGGGACAAGCTCAGAGGGACCAGAGGCTTCTTTGAGGTGCTGCAAGTAGTCATAGTCATCATCAAAGAAGACACCATACTTGCGCTGCTCTTCTCTTCTTTGCTCCTCATGCCCCTAGGAAGCAGGGGGAGAAGAGAATAATCAAAAGGAATACATTTAGTTAATCAAGTCCATTTAAAACTTACTAGCAAAAAGAAAAGCAACACATCTACTTGAGAGTATCTGAATATTGAAGTCCTTGTAGTCTTCTCTCCACTCCTCTCCCTAATTCACAGCTAATTAGAATGTTGTAATCAGCTGGTTCCCTGTCTGGGTGCTGCCTGAGCAGGACTTTTCCATCAGCAATATAACCAACAATGCCTGTTTTATCACAGTGAGTCAGCCAAGTTTTGTTTCTGTTTTTTAAATACATTTACACTTCTAATGCCAGTTAAATCATCCTTCAACCATCAGGCACAAACTCACAACTATAAAACTCCCTACAACATCCCTTTTTTTTAATAAGCTGAACTAAAAACTACCTTCTCTCTGGCTATGTTTTTGAATTGCATAATTGCATACCAACTGTTTTCCTCCATGGCGTTTCTTATCTGAATGAAGCTCAGTATTAAAAGTGAGTATTTACTTTCTGTGTGGGCAGTAGAACTCTCTGGGGTGCAGTATCATCAGCAGCAAGAGGATCCCTCTGACTTCGGTGCACTAAGTGAAATGTTACTGCTTTCTTCTTCTCTATGAAGGGTTTTTTCTTCTTGTGAGGCTGCAAAAGGAAATATGGTTAACTGTTAACAAAAAACGAAATACTAAATGCACCTAAAGAGAACCTTTCCTCCGTAGTGTGCTGCTGCATTCGTTTTAAAGCAAGGCCTTATAAATATATGCTTGTGGACAAAGCATAGAGGCCAGTGGGAGCTTAACTCATCTCCCCCCACACACGACAGACATTTAATATGTTCTAACAGCAAACGCAGCTTATTCACCTGCAAAACGGCAATACATCGAACAGTAAATATCTGATAACAGCACATACAGCTTAACATACAGCCCTATAAAGGAATTCCGCAACACACTTCATCACAGAAACACGGGAAACTGATATAAGGAAATTCATCTAGACACATCTTGTTTCGTGAGAGCTCTTTAGACGGCTGCTCCTGCAGCAGCAATTCAGCATCAGTCATGAGGGCCATCCGCAGCACCGCTGCCCAGGCACAGCTCTAACATGGAAACACACATTCCTTCTCAATCAACAAACCCACCAAGTACTCTCAACTGGCTGGGAGCCATACCTACGAGTTACCACGTCTGACCTGGAAAAACACTTCCAGCAAGGTTTCCGGCTTTACTTACCTAACAAAACGCGCTACAGCCGATACAGGCAACCTGGGGGGGGTGACTCTATTGCTCTAACCTGCCTTGTTCCCCTGGCAATTCCGAGTACAGAGCCCGGCACACTCACCATGGCGCTGTCCCCCGCCGCTCCCGGTGTCCCGAACCCCACTCGCTCCCACGCGGGTCAGGCCTCAGCGCCCCCGGGCCGTGCCCTCCATCTTGGGACAGACCAGTGACCAACGGGGGGAAGGAGATAGGCGGCCAGTCCGGCCACGTTTGTAAGGTTTCGTTTTCCGGTTAAAAAACAAAAACAAGGAGTCTTTTCTCAGACTGAAATAGTATTTTGGTAAAAGAGAGACTCAGTGAGCCCAAGCAGGACGCTCATCGGAGAGACATTTTTTTCAGTTCTCCCCTTACAATGGTGAAGAATGGTTCGGGCCGCCAGCAGTCCCAGTGGCAGCACGCGGCGCAGGCGGCCAAGGGGCAGCGCGCGTGCGCAGCAGCAGGGCCGGGCCGGGCTCGCTGAGGGGAGGGGCGGGCAGCGGGGGCTGAGTCTGGAGGAGCGGGAGGAAATAACGCGTGTTGGTACTGACGGTGTTTTGCCATAGTTGAGTTCTTGTTTTTGATGAGCAACAGCTGGGCGAACTGGGTCTGTTCAGAGGAGAGACGACTAAAAGGGGGCTTCATCAATGTCTATGAGTATCTGGCGGGACCGTGTCAAGAGTTTGGATCCGGGCTCTGCTTGAGGGTGCCCAGCAATAGGACAAGAGGCAACAGAAACTTATGCGCAGGAAGTTCCACCTGAATATAAGGACCAACCTTTTTACTGTGCAGGTTATGGCGCAGTGGAATAGATGTTCCAGAGAGGCTGTGGCGTCTCCCTCACTGGAAATATTCAAGAACCGACTGGACACGTTCGAGTGCCATGTGCATTAGGATAGCCCTGCTTGGGCAGGGGGGCTGGACCAGGTGATCCACTCTGGTCCTTTCCAACCTGAACCATTCCGCTGTATCACACTGTAGTTGTATCAATTTTACCTACACCACGTAGTGGAGCTGTGTACAAACACAGGCACTCACGTACAGGCTCCTTGCTAAGAAAAACAGAAGTATGGGTGATATTTTAAAACCTGCTTTGTTATTTTTCAGAAGAAAGTGTAAAACGCAGAGCAGTTTTTTTTTCCCATGTGTTTGCCGGCAAATAAAATAGTAATGGCTAAGCAGAGGTTTCACTGAAGATTCAAAAAAGTCATCCACATCAGTGTGTATGGATGCAGCTAAATATTTATATATGCGTGTACCTTAAAGTATTAGCTTTAGTCATATTTGGGTGGATTTCACTGGTTTTCAGTAGGTGTCACTAAAGCTCCAAAAGAACCCAAATTTTCACTCTTCTGGCTGTTTTCTGAAGTCTGGAATCTTTACCAAGTTTCATCACACCACTCTTGCAGAAGTGCACAGTCTAGTCTGATCCACTCCATCAAACTGAAATAACTCCTCGAAGGATTTAGATGACCCTTGCATATATCTGTGCAAAGGCTGGACTTTCCTCTTTCTTGCAAAAAGTGCCCGGTGGGTGTTTTGCTGCTGTCAGCGGGTGTGCTACACACCTCATGGCACAAGGACATCAGCAATGACCCCTCCGGGACTGCAGGCTGCCAATGGATTTTTCATGACTGCACCCAAGAGCAACAAGTCCCTCCCTACCGTATGTCTGTACTGCCAACCAAGTGACAGCTGGAATAGCAGAACTGGATTTTCACAAGGTAATTAAGAGCAGAATCACTCAGCTGTTGAAAACACAGTACTTAGCATTTATTTGTGAGGTAATGATGTAGATTAGATTACTCCTTGTTGCTTCCAAGTTCCTGACATGCCTCTCTGGCATCCACAGAAGTGCATGTGTATACACATGGTGACAGGATTACACTTCACAATCCCTTAAACCTGGTGACCTCCATATCTGGTGGTGGCAGTACTGTCATTCTGCACACCTCAGATCTGGTCTAGGAGCATTGTACTAGTTTGGATGTGGGAAAAAATAACTTTTGTTCTCAGCTCTGCTGTTAGTCCCCTGTTTCCTAAGTGTAATGTAAGTTTACCTGTTCAGTTAAGTCTCAATGTTTTCTGTCTTTAATTTACATCTTCTCCTGAATTTCCTGGCTACTTTCTAAGTATTTATGGGGAAGGATATGTATTATATGTTCACACAGAGATTAAAACAGGTTCCTCCCCATATCACAGAAGATTGCTAATGTATACTAAGAGTAGTACATCTGGGGATGAGTTTGAATCGAGGATTAGCAACAATAGGCACCACATTGCCTCCTTTGTTGACACCTGAGGGCGAATCATCTCCTGATTTACATAAAAATGAAATATTTAGTATTACATACATGTGAACTGTGTGTGAGAGAGTGTCTCGGATACTCTGCTTAAGCTTCTCATTTCATCCAAGCCTTACAAGGCCATTCATCCCACTGCACTCTCTCACTGGGTTCTTTGCAGAGACTACTTACAGAACTCAGCAAAGAACATCTACAGAGACTGAGTGGGTTAGTGCTTAAGTCACTAACCACTTCTTTTATGCTTGCAGAGGAAAAATGGTCAGTATTGAAACAGTCTCACTGTCAAGGCAGCCACTTAAAAGATAATATGCTGGAAGCATATTATTAACATAATCATCAACTTGCCTTTTGTGTGAAGGAATTTATGCTCATTTTTTTTTCTCTTAGTTCCTGCAAAGAAGAAATTATTCCAAAGTAATTAAAACAAAGGTTATTGTCAGTCACTTTGAAAGTTAAAATATTGGCAGATGCACTGCTGTCTAGGCTGAGCCCTCAGCTGTGCAGAGGGTGTATTTCCACTGCAAATCTGCTGTGAATTAAACTGGTAAAAAACACTTCTTGCTGATAAGGGGGAATTGAAAACATAGATTAGGTCTTCAAACCACTGAGCTACAACCCTAACTTTGTATTTTTAAACCAAGTATCACCTCTTGGAACACACCTCTCCATGAATATACCACACACAGGGAATTTACCAGATGTGTTTGAAGGACTGCCAGAATTCAAAGGAAGGTTTCAGGAAACTTTTTTTCATTTCATTTCCACAAGGAGGGAGTTTAATTCCTCCTTAATTTCTCTGGAGGCTCTCTGAATTTAACTCTGTGTGCCCATGTGCATGCTAGAGATTCAAGAACAAAATATTTTCAGTAAAGATTTTCTGGACAATTTTATTGAGATGATTTTTAAAATTTTCTATTTATATATATTCATTCATATATATATCTATAATTGAAAGAGCTAAACAATTGCTCTGAGGCACTTGGAACTGTGCACAGCAGAGTATCCTACAGTACTGTCCAACTAAGCAGCACACTTGCATAACATATGTACTGTATAACCCCCCCATACATTCTTTATGTTTTTCAGGTGATGATATTTGTGTGCATATATGTGTATGTATATATATATATATATATATATATATATATAACGTTACAGATAAAAAGAAGCAGCTATCATTAATTTGTAACAATTTCAACTGTTTGCATTCACAGATATGACACACCTGTGTAAAATGCAGTGTCAGATCTGTGACCTCTTTAGAGTTACCACATTCTATCACAGTGAGCCAAGTAGATGCATTCACTTTATAATTGTTACATAAAATCTGCCCTGCGTAAGCTGAAAAGTTACTGGTATTGATTCTCCACAGCCTTCCATCTTTTGAAAGTAATGAAACATGTGGAAAGTACATTTTAAAGGGACAGCAGTTCTAAGCTGGTAATGTTTCAGATATATTTTTTGGTAGTTAACTGTAACTCTTTAGCATGACGGGCAGTGGGGAAACAAGGCTTGAATTTTGTTTGCCTTACTTAACTTATAAATGGGAACATTTAATGAAATCAAAGCAAGTTACTTAAAGAATAATTTTTTATCAAATTAATAGAAACAATAAAGTCTAAGAACTGGCCCAGTGCGTACGAATAGGTGACACTCTATGCAAAATTTTAATTCCAATGAAGTAGTGTGCAAATTCCATTTCAGGTGAATGTGGCCACCCTAGAGCCTATTCAGCAAGTAAGAATCTTCTGGCTGTACTGGACCCTCGGAACACCCTCCTGGAGCTTAGCAACCCGCACTGGTGTGGATGTGGGATCAAGCCTGCCTTACTGGAGTCTCGTTCCACAGCGTCTGTGTAGACTTGCTTGGAAGAGGCAGGTGTGCAATGGTTCCTACAGCTGAACCTACCCTGGTGTACTGCAGCTCTGCCAGAAGGTACAGCTGGGTCCAAAGCACGGCACACAGATGTTGCCATGATTTACTTGTTTGAGCTTTTGTTCCACAGAACGCCAGGGGAAGTGACACAAACTTAGCAGCTTTATTAGCTCCTGTGTATACAACAGTGTATGTGCACTGCAGTCTTCTTGTGCCTCCCCCAGATTTGCAGTTGTAAATGGAATTCCATTTATTTTTAAGGAAATCTGCCCTCCCCCCACAAAACTTAAGAGCTATTTAAACAGTTGCAGGCAATTAAGTATGTGCCATGTCCAGACCCTCCCCACGCTGCTGATACAGTCAGATGCCCGTTCACACAATTTTTGTTTCAAATCACACCAGCTGAAATAATAATAATCCAAAACACAGTATTTCTTTAATTCCAAAATTTGTACAAGTTTACAAATCAATATACCACCACACAAAGTAGTGAAAGGAAGAGATGTTAAGCAACGTTTTAACGTTTTACTATATCATAACAATGTTCAAATATTGTTAAATTTGACATAGTATTGCGAGATTATTTTTTTAATATAAAGAATTTATGCTTGAACAAGAAGATACAGATAATGCCATTGCTTTCTTTGTTTCTATCCAATGCAGTATGCAGCTTCTAGAAAATATTGATGAAATGCTGTATCTAGTTCATATGAGCTTTATTTCCATTAAAATCTTGAAACAAAATGGGAACACAAAGTGAAACAAAACCTTATTAATTATTAAAGTTAATAAATAGAAACCTGTTTGAACATTACAGCACATATATATTATTTTCACTCCATTTCTCCCTTTCTCTCTATAGATACAGTTTCCTAAGTTTTGGTGGTGGTTTTTTCAGATTTCTGTTAAATAGAAGTTTTAAGCTATTCTGGGGACTTGCTTTTTTTTCTTTTTTTTTTTTTTTTTTTTTTTTAATTTGACCTTCAAAATATTTTTGTATTAACCTTATAAAATTTTTCAGAATATATTTTTTACTTTTCATCAGACTCTATGTTCCATCAGTGAGCATTGCACTTATCTTGGTATAATTAGAATACAGATAGGAACAATAATGAAACTAAACGTGGAAGGTCTTAAAGGCAGGAGGCAAGTTCATCCATTTTTTTTTTTCACCCTGAGTATGTTTTTAGTTTAGTTTACAGCAATGGCACAGGGCTCCTGAAGATCATTGAAACCAGGGACATGAAAAGTGTTAAACACACGGTTCATGTGTACCTGACAGTCTCATGCAAATGTAGGCTTTTAGCTTGGTTTGCTTTCATTATTTTCATTGATCATTCATTCGTCAAAAAACATTTCATTGTTTTTATCATTAAAGCATTAACAGACATTGAGACACGGGCCAATATTCTGCTCTCTGCTTAGGATGTCAGCAGTGCTCACACAGGCCTGTTCTGCCAGGTACCCAGGTGACAGTGTGGCTCTCCCTACCCTCACTCCAAGTCTTGCCAGCTGCAGACAGTCAGGGAGTTTTGGTTGATTCCCAGGCTGCCAGACTGGATTAGATGTTTTTAGTCTGTTGCTGGCTGGATCTTCTTGCACTTTTTGATCATACAAATTCAGGGCTCAGACTGAGTCTATAGTCAGGTTAAGCAACTGTTCATTTGAAACAAATTCTCTCATGTACTATATTAGCTGTAGTATTATTAGTTACACGTCTGAGTTTTCTCTGCAGGAAATCAAGCACTAATTTCAGCTGGAAGGAGGGGTCTAATTTCTGTAATATCAGGGATATTTCATCCCTTTGTTTCACAGCTTTCATTTGATTTTCAAGTTAAAAAATGGGTGCTCATCTGATATGGTTTTTCCATGTCAACACTGAAGTTGTGGTGCTTCTGTAAGACATGCTCAGGGTGGCCAAAGCAGATGTGGGGCTGTCCTGCCCCACACCACATCAGAAGTTCATAAAGTCCACCACAGCAAGGGACGTGCACAACTGTAGGTAAATGATAAACCCAACAAATAAATGCAGTATTGTAGAACTACAAATGGCCATTAATACTTACAGTGAATTTGAAGAGATGTTGCTTCTGGTCCTACCATGTTTCAAATCATCAGCTGAAATGGTATTTAGCTTAAATAATCATTAGCATTTAGTTAAATTTTTTTTTTTTTTTGTACTTGTTGAGTCAATATATATAGTGCAATTAAAAAAAATACAAATAAGACTGTGTTTGAGTTATAAAGACTAATATATACTACCCCAAAAAAGAGACAGATAAGACACTCTAGAACCATTTCAATTTTTTATGTGGAAAAGAAATTAGGATTTGATTAAGCATCCATTCTTTTGTGCCCACAGCAGCATGCTGTGATGTACGATTATACTGATAAATATTATAAATGAGATAATTTCAGAAACCACTACTTCAAGCTGCTCATTTTCTCTTTCTGTGGATGTAGACATACCTGATTCTGTGGAACATAGGTATCGTGTGAGGTTTGTCATATATTGTGGATGACATTTAAATGATTTGTCCAATTTGATAAAAATTACCATACTGATCCCTCTTAGCCAATTGGACTGTACTACACTTTGGATGAAAAGTGCTATTTTTTCTTTGCCTGTTTAACATCTTTTTATTTTTAACTCTAGGATTACTCACTCATGAATTTCTCAGGGCTCATCCCAATTTTTCCCTTCTAGCAGGCATGCAGCACCATAACTGGTATATAGTGTAATAATTCCAATGGGTTGTTGATGTAACTGGAAAACATTTGAAATTATCAATACAGAGGACTAGGAGAGGCAGCAGAAATTGACTTCAGGCTTCTCAAAGCAAACTTGCTTCACTGCACATGGTGACATACCAAATACTCGTTATTTTTTATTTCATGGACAACATTTTTCAGCTATTGTTTTTCTGTGATATTTATATATATATATAAAAATAGTATATAAAATTCTATAGCTCTGTGGGGATACAATACACTGGATAGTTTGTAGTTCTAATTCTGCAAGTATCTACATAAGATTTCTACATAAGTTCCAATAAAGGCAACTCTTTTTGTCCAGTTATGTAAATGTGTTTAATTAGTTAGCTGAACTGTGGGCCAAACAATGCATCTTGTTATTACCAAAACAGTAAGAAACTAAAAATTAGCTCAGCATCTCTACCAAGGCTAGTGTTCTGCATCTAGCAATGGCTTCGAGGGAATACTTTTAAAAAATCACCCTCCAACCCCAGAAGGAGGATGGGGAAAGCCTAAGTGATACCTCACCTATACATGTTATGACATAACTTCAGCTTGAAGAAGCTGAAGCCAGAAGTTGTACCTTCATTTTTGTGTTATTACTCTTAAAACAAAGTTGGCACATGACTTTGCATCCATGGTCCAGGCCTAGTATTGGGGAATTTCTTCTTGCAAAGTCAATTTTTTCACTTCATCCTAAGTTTAACAAGTTTTACTTTGCTTGTGTAACCTGTGTGTACCTTGGCATGGTGGTGGAGCTCCTGTCTTACATAAAATATTTATAGTCTCACCTTACCTTTGTCCGAGTTATTCTGCCTGTGCAACAGCTCTCTTTCTGCCTTCAGTATCTTGGCTGCTTTCAAATGTTTCAATGTGATTAAGGCAACACTAAGATCTATTTATTTGCTTCACTCATTTCCTTTGAAGTGAAATACTGTGTTTTATACTTCAAAGTCAACATAGTAGACCTTTATATGATTTTGGACACACATTCCAAAATTTGGCAACATCAGCAAAAAAAAGTTTAAGCAGAACTATTCTAGCGTTACTTTTAAGTTTACCCTTCAAATTCTAAAAATAAAAATTAGCATTTTACCAGAATTGCTGACAAACCTTAGCTCTAATGCCCTGCTTATCCCTGTATGATTTAGTGCCAAAGAATACATTTTCACTGCTTCCTTGATGTCAAAGTGGTGTTTCTATATTTATAATATGATGGGCTTTCCAGAAGCTTGTTTTCTGCAAATGGAATCCTAATGGCTCTTATTGATTCCATTAAAAAAGGAAGGTGCTGCTTCCTTTTCTTTGCTGCAAGCATGTAGATGGCTTTTTAAATTCAGTTATTGATATTCTATGGCTTGTACATCATTAGATTTTTACCAATGTAAAGTGTAATGGATCCTAACAGTCATTTAAATCTTACCTTTCTAGAAAAGGTTTGCCAGTGTCTTTAAAAATAATAGAGTGACAGAGAGCGATGGCTGTGGGAAAACACTCTCCTGTTACTAGAGGTGCTCTTCATTAAAATAATCTACCTCATTTATGCAAACCTGGTCTTGTTGGAAATAGCTCTGAAGAGGGATATCTAATTTTAGCCACAAAACTGCCTTCCTGCCTTTAGGCTGACATCTCTAACAACAACCTTCAATTTTATAAACTAAACACATTCCGCAAGAATCTATCACAGGTTTTGAGGTAAAAATCACATCTACACAGACCTTTTATTGCCAGAAAAAGAAATACTTACACTTCATAATTAAAAACTGAACAGGACACATAAAAGACAAAAATAAATTGTAATATGTACACACATTAGAAAGGATAAATAGCAAATATATTGTAATACTGCATTAAATGTATGCATATGTGAATTCTGGACCCCCCCCCCAATGTTGTGTACACTAATTCAAAGGATAAATAAGTGCTAATATAAGACAGAGAATTTCTTAGTGTAAACAACACCACAGGCTTTTTAATAGGCCTTTGGGCCAACTTAGAAAAACCATGTATTGCCTTTCACACTCCATACCACTTAATTTTCATAGTACTGTATTCACATGTACAAGATAGTATAAAAAATTACGAATCTAAGAAGCATTCTCCACACTCAACATAAACAGGCTGGAGACACTCCAAGGATTTTTCTTTCACTTTTAAAGGACCACTAGCTGAAGACATACTGATTCACCTGGGAGTTACTTCTCAAAGCAGTGCAAGAGTCCTTAAATGTAAAAAGTTACATTAGTAATCACTGCTCAGGCCTATCAATAAAGACTTCTGTGCCTAATTTAAATTCTGACTTTGGATTCACACTAGCATGATGTCAAAGTTGTCACCACTGCCTGCCTTGGATGACAAAGATAATGATCCCTCTGGTTTGAATGGCAAGTAACAGACAGCAAGGAGTGTTTCTAAACACAAAGCATTTCATTGCATTCATAGTGTCACATTATTTGTCTTTCAAATCTTGTTTATGTATTTCTGAGGATCCAGAGTATGTCAACATTAAAAAACAAAAAAATATATTACTTATTCTGTATGAATGTTCCATGTGTTTTCCTGAAGCTTGTGCACTGGGATTTAAAAAAAGACAGTTGAGTTATACTAGGAGTAATTTCTGGCAACTGTATTTACTGGCACCGAAGAAAAGGATAGTTCTTCCTAAAGTACTGATGACACGAGGACTTATGGCTTTCTATCGTTTTAAGACAGGCTGCAGCCACTACATGCACTGTTGCACTCTCATTTTTTTAAAAAAAATAATTCTTTCCACTGGCCAAGTGCATTGATGGGCAGTCCCATCCATTCCATTTTTCTCTGTGGACTGACAAAGTCTCTTTTCCCCCAGGTCTCAGTTCTTTTGTCACCCCCCTCCCTCTTTGTTACCCTCAATCCCAACCCTATGAAGCCCGATGAGATCCTGGCAGCAGGCTCTCCAGCGATTGTCTTCAGCACTTCCTGACTTGTGGAGCTCTGACAAAGAAGTCGACTGGCTTGTCCCTGTGGGCTGGCCACAGAACCGTGGACTGTCTGGACATGGACAAACATTTCCCGTGGGTTCTCCTCCCAGACTAATCATTTGTCCATTGACAAAGACAAGGGCTACTTTCTTCATTAGCCTCAGGGTAAGCTGTAGCACACACTCATACTCAGTCAAGTTCCAGTGCAATTTCAGGTCTTCAGGACGCAATGGTTTCCCCAAAGAAAATTGTTACTTGAATTATGGGATGTGGTCAAACAGTTATGGACGATGAAACCTGAAAAGATAAATTAAAAAACTTAGAATTGTGTTATTTCAACTGACAATGACACTGATCCTCATCCTGCCCTCATAGCTGTTTCCTTTTGTGGGCCAATTATTCCTGATTTCCCTGATCTGTGTTAGTATGGACAGACCTGTTATTTCCTGCTGTCCATCTCTCTTCTTAGAAAACCAAATAGAGATTTGGTGTGGCTCAAGCACTGGTACTGGTACAGGTCTGTCTGTCCATACCATTAACCTGCCATAGTTTTGCTTCGGTCAGCCAGTGCTTTCAGGTTCTGCCTGGGCATGGCTGGGCTTAGGACAGCAGGAAGGCTGGGCAGGGGGGGACATCACCCTGTTTTGAGGTGAGAGAAAGAACTTAACTGCATGGATTCAAGCTGTGCCAAGCCTGCTGGCCTCAGGGCCAGAGAACAGTCTCCAGTCTGTTTTGTTTGCCAATATTTAGCCACAATTGCATCCATTATTTGGAGACGCTGTCAGTAACTATTATCAGAAAAGCTTTGCTAAACCATAAAAATTAAATTCCTGGGGTTTTAATCCTTGTGCAAAATGAGGCTAACAAAAATTTTGTATTTTCTTTTAAGTAAGCAACAAATTTTATAGCCCTTCAGATTATTTCTTCTTATTAACAGTGAACTGAGGTACATGAAGGCCCATATATACCTCACTTTTTTTTGGCTTTTAGGTAGGGCACGTACATCACTCCAGATTGCCTGTATGATGGCTAGAGAAGTGGGTTGTTCCAAAAAGTGTCACCAACCCTTTCTATAATAAGTTAGGAACCTACAGCAATTGAAATTCTAAATCATGTTAAGTGTAATGAATCCAAGCAAAAGGTTAAGGAGGGCACCAGTATCAGGTTCTCAACGTGTCTATTGACAGACATAAATGTCTGTTTAAATGACTTTAAAAATGTGTCTGTCCATGAAGTAGTAAAAGATGCAGCAGCTTGAAAAAGGCATAGTTAATGATGCATCTACACAACAGATTTACCTAAGTTTTTTTTTGACACATTTTCTCTTAATGGTTCCACACATTATCCCTCTAAGTTGATTCAATACAATACAGGGGTGCATTTTCAAATGAAGGAGGAGTGCACAAAGCCTGACATTAACAACTATGCAGATCATCTGCTAAATGAGGGTCCAGAGGATTGCTAAGAAAATAGGGAGTTTGTATGTTTGTAGAAAAACAATATACTGGACTATATATAACATTTTCATTAGAAACACATCATGAACACCTACTAATATGCTCCTCCCAAACTTGTATTCATTTCTCTGTTTTTAGAAACTAATTTTCTTGGATTTTGTTATGAAATAACAGAAAGAGTCAGTCTAAATTACTAGGAATAGAAAACCAGTCATTTGGCAGTCATTACAGTAAATGATGAACAATGAAGCCCATTGTTCTTTCTTTTCTAAGTTTAATAAAAAAATTTAACATTTCAAATATATGAAAAGTGCTGATTATAATATTAAATCATCTATATTTAATCTGCAATCATATAGGAAACTATATGCTATAAACTGTTTTTGTTTAGTAAGCAGCTTCCTTGTTTTCTAACACAGAATAGCCTGTGTGCTAATCAGGTGCCAGTGCAAGTGCCTTTTGATTTGCATTATCTCAGTGATCTTCTTGAAGATAAAGTATGAGAAATTAATTCTTTGGCTAGAGACTTCTGTCTATGGTATTCTTAAATCACTTTTGTTGTATCAATCCAATATTATGTAGCAGAAAGTACATAATTTTTAATGAGATATTTCAGAGAAAATGGGATCTCTTTTTGTTTTCAAAATTGCAATTGACTTTAGACATTTGCATGTTATTCTGCTCTTAATTAGTTTCTTCTAGTGTTACTCTTCTGACCTCTGTGTAGTAACTCCACAGCATGACCAGTGAAACAGAAGAGCATGGACAAGGAACAGAAAAAACCTAATTTCCCTCACACTGAAATTCTTTCAGGACCCTATAGAACCATTGCCTATATTTATCACAATTTGTCTGTGCCTATTCTTTACTCCATTTTCAAAGGCCCTCCTTGAAAAAATAATTCATTTTTTTACTGGCTGTCACTCCACTAGATTCCTGGTTTAGCTTTCAAGAATCCAGTTGTAATCTGTCTGTTCTCAAAGCTCATGAAAAAATACCCAATTATTTTTGTATGAATCGTGCCTGTCTGTACTTAGGCTTCAATATTGCAATGCAACTCAAGAAACACAACAATGTAAGCAGGGGGTTGGTTTCTATACCTGCTATTTTTATTCTCTCCCTTGGGATGCTCTTTTTTAAAAAGTAGTATTTTTATATATTCTGAAAAATATATAATACCTGTTACCTAGAGAGAATAAAATACCAGAAGCCAAATGAAAAGACACATCTCCTTGTTTGAAAAGGACATTTTCTAGTGGTCAGAATGCAACATTCAATTAAAACCATGTGTCCCGGTTCATCTTCTGGCTTAGGTTTACTGTCTGTGAAACTGGTTCAAATTTTTAAAAATGAATTTGTTTATGTTGTATCTACACAGAAGTGACTTTAAGAGTATTATTTTTTAAAAGTCCATATTTTGGTGAGAAAGAAATTACTGAATTTTTGAAATCAAGCAGTGAAGTAGTAGATACATGAAACACCCATCACCCATTATCAATTTTCTTTGTGATACATTCTTTAATTAGGTGATTCACATTCACTAGCTCAGATCCTGAGTTTGGTTGAAACAGTAGGAGGAAAGGGACTCAGTCAATTGTTTCTATTTGACTTAATTTTCTTCAGAAGCAAAGACATGAATACTACATATACAATATTGGCCAACCCTAATATTCAGTTTTGATTGCTGGTGGCAATTTTCAGCCTTAGTAACTTCCAAGAAAAATGAACGCATGCCAATGAAAAATGACACACAGAAAGTGCGTCCCTCCCCCTAGGAATGATTCTGCCGAATTTGAAAGCCTGCTAAAAAACTGTGGACACTTCAGACCTCCTTAAAATAATAATGCTTCAGACAACATCTTGGTGTTATCCAATGCAGAGAACAAAACAAATCCACATTAACACAACAGAAGTGACAACAAGGGAATCTATCTTGTTCCCCAGAAAGTGCTGCCAGGAACCTAAGTGACCCTTAGAAAGCTTGCTAAGACACTGGTCAGCTTTTCTGAAGTTCAAAACATCATCTAGTTTTCACTTAGGAAATACATCTACATAAATGTATACTTTAATGAGCAAGAAAGTGCTGCCAGAGAAGGAAATCTCTTTTATTTTGTGTGCTTGAGGATTACTAACTTAATCTGTAAGAACTGATGAGTTCTTTCAAAGGATTATTTTTTAGATTCCCCAAACAATCTTTTTCTACATGGTGACCAGTCCATTGCAGTCACCTGCACTGCTGTATCAGCTAGAGATGGCATCAGCAATCCTAGGAATTCCAACAGAATCAGTGGTGGCATTCAAGGGGACTCATGATAGGAATCCACACAAATCATGACTCAACTGAGAACTTGCAGAAAAGCAGAGGGTTGCTGTCATACTCGTTTCTCACACTTACAAGAAGAGGGATTCACCCACCTGGTAAATTGTCGACTTTCCTCATGTACTTCCATTTCTGTGCTTTTAAATTCATTCAGTTCTTTCCGTATTGCTGCCTAATAAACAATGATATATGCAACCGTAAGAAATACAGATTTTCAGGAAAATAAAGAGTCTGAAAGAAACATGCCCCTACTCTTGCAGGTGCCTTACAGTTCCCATTTCCATTCTCCCTTACTGTAATCCACTGCTCTCACACATTTCTGATCATCAACATGAACGACTTTTCAATTACAGCAGTTCAAAGCACTCGTCCACTACTAAGAAACGTGCACCAAAAGTAAACCAAAAAACACCAAATCAACTGCAATGGGTGAACAAAGCCCACACTGAAACAGAGCACTTTTGTGGATGACAATGAGAAAGGGGTTGGATTACCCTGACAATCACTTGCTGAGTAGGCAGACAGGAGGAGATTCTATCTCCAGACACAACCCTGAGGAGCTGGTGAGTCACTGCCTGCACAGTCACTGAATCTCTTGTATGTCCTCTCTGGAGACAGGACTAAAGGAATGCAAGATGAACAGCCTTTTTTGTTGTTGTTGTTGTTTGTTTGTTTTGTTTTGTTTTTGTTTAAGTGGAATTAGTCACCTGGTTTGATTAATTTTATGTAACATTATATGAATTATTGGCACATTTCAGGCTTGGGTTTTCATTTGGCAGATACTAAAGAACAACAAAAATTCAGTACAGTTTGTAAATGCCTTGGTGCTTAGTTAAGAAACTGATGAGCAATTTACTTCATCAAGTGATAAATACAGTTTCTGAAATATTTTAATATATACTACAAGGGGTTTTGTTTCTATGCCACACACCTTCTTACCTTCACTGTTAAAAAAAAGACAGTGTATTTTTACTCATTCTTTTCTTTCACCAATTTAAATAAAGTATCATTTCATTAATCCCTAAAGAAATGTCATCTGGTGCATGCCTTTCAGTGCAGAACAGACAAGCAGCACGATAAAATTATAGCATCACCAGGCTGCAGTCTTATAAATGAGAAACTTTTTTTTAAGCAGGGGCAGTCGTGTTTAGTCGCAACAGCACACTTACATGAGGCTGCTGTAGAGCTAGTAAAGAGACAGTATTTCTGAGCACCAAATCAGCAACAAAGACAGCAGAGCTCCAGCTCTGTAATATAGTTACAGCACAATTTTCTGCTCCCACTGGAATTAGAAGAATGATTTCTCTGGGAAAAAGAAAGGACAAGAGAGTTTCCAGGCAACCCCAAGTCTGCCTTTCTGCTAAGGCCAACAAACTTGGGGCTCACAGAATTGGCCTTGGGCACCTGTTAATTACAAAATTAATTGAGACTAAAAAATGCTACCCTGAAGTAGGTGGGAAACTCCACTGTTTTTTTTCTAGTGCAGTTTACCCTGATTGGACCTCTGTCAAAGTGGAGGTGCTGGGGTCCTCTAACCTCCCACAGACTATGGGAGGACTAGACAGTGCTCAGTATCTTCCATAACCAACATCTACAAACACTTAACTATTTTTAACTATTTCACCTTGACCTGATACCATTGTCAGATGAGCTGTATTTTTTTTAATATTAATATTAAAATACAAGCTGAAATAAAAGCAATGCTTCACTACCCTTAGCTAAAAGAGAGAGGGCTCTTACACACACCACTTTTCATGTCAAGCACATCTCACAGGAGTTCCATAAAGTCCATAGGTCTTGGTTCAGACCCAGTGCTTTAAGAGCCAGCACTTTTGGCTGAATCTTACAGCTCTCATTAATTAATATAGGAGAGAAATGGAAGAGTGCTTTGTGGTAATCTCTGACTGATAGTTTTTTAAAAGTGAAAATCTCAGGATCATGTTTCTCACCCTTTGTAGTCAGGCAGCAGAACTATTAACTGTTGGATGATAGGGGCAAACTTCCCAAGAAGGTGTGCTGGATGCATGTGGCCAGTCCCTGCTCTGGTGGTTGTGGCCAAGGACCCTGAGGAGAATGGAGCAGCTTCTACCTTTTTTCACTCAAATGATTGGCCAAAGCAACTCTTGGTAGCAGTGACACAGACTTCTGCCTGCAAACCCCTGCCTGAATTCCCACAGATCAGGGCCACCTTTGGTAAACACTTACCTGTCTTAGCAAGGATTTAAAAATTAGAAAAAAAATTTAGAAATTCTGGCCTGAACTTTCATAAGAGAAGTGGAAAATATGCTCTTGATAGGCTCCTGAGTGGGTTTTCTTAGCTGCAAGCAGTAGATGTCCCTTGCCTTGTCTGCAGGAGTTAACCTGGCCCAAGGCTTGTCAGCACGACGGTCGTAATCCGGAGATTCCGTGACCTCCACGTACTCGTTAAATCGAAGGATTCTTCTCGCTTGAAGTTCAGCCACTGTAGGCCTCAGGCTGAGCTGTAAGCGGGAGGCAGAAAATAGTATGCTTAATAAGATGAAATGAAAGAAAAGAGGAGGGTATGATGTAATCTCAAGAGAACTTTAATGGTATTTCTAAATAGGGTCACTTTCAGGTGTCTAAAAAAAGGCACCATCCTGGGAGTGCTGTGCAGGAATGGGGAGGCAGCCTAACCTGATTTCTTCAATTATAAAAATAGTCTTTGTCGGGCAGGTCACAGAGAATCATGACAGTTATCCCTGGAATATTAATTGTGACTTTGCAACTGTCACTACCCCACTAGGCCATTTGCATTAATGGTTATACTGAGTTAAAACTGTAATACCAAAAATACGTGAGATTTGGAAGTATCCACCTAACAAAAAGCCCTGGTTTTGACCGTTTAGGGGTCATTATGATGCCAAATTGTTTCAGTCACCTCAAAGAATATTCACGTTAATTAACTAAGGATGATCATATTAAGGAAATTGTATTTTTGCAGAGACAGGCAAACCAGGGATATTTATGAAAACTCCCATCCTCTCCCAGAACAGATCTGTAACTGCTCCATTTCCAGGGACAATGAACATCATGATCCCACCTGCAGAAGCTAAGACCACTGATGTGGTTAGAAGAGTACTGAAGGGATTTTGTAGAGGCCATGTTGTTTTTCTGCCCTCTCCACTGCTGTAGGGAAGAATGGATCTACAGGTGTGGCTGCTCTGGATCCTACGTGACAGGGGTGGTCATGCTACAGAGGAAATGTCACTTATGTCCCCTGCTTAGAAACACCAATATGGCCAGGCTCGGTATGCTTCTCCAGGTGTGGGGAGCTGGACAGCATGGGGTTTCTCCCAGCACAGACTTGGCTTGTACTGCTTTTTAAGGAGATTTATAATCTGGGAAAAAGACTGATGGGCATTTGCAGCAATGTCTATACACTGATTTTTAGATTCTTATAAACATAATTCTATGTATAAAAATACACAATACAAAAAAAGCACATCATCACCTTTCTACTGAGTCTACGTTTTATTTCTCTTTTGGCTTCCTGTTCCTCTTCTTCATTCTTCTCTGTTTTCAGAAGAGATAAAAAGGAGTGAATATTTAAGTATTATAACTGCACATACTGTATTTCTCTTGGTTGAAAGCTTCAGAACTCCAAGTCCTGGCTCATGTTTCCTCATATTTCTGGATGATGCTGTATGTGTTGTCTGCTTTTTGGCTTTTGTATGCTCTCATTCTTTTCCCTATCCACATTTCCCCTGATTCTGTAGACATCTCAAGTCAACTGTGGGCAATGAGTACAGCAAAGAGAAGGTGCCTGTCATTTCCTTTCTGTGTACCAGCAAGCAAGTACCCTGGAAGAGTTGCCTGATGTTTCAATTACTTATTCTAACATTACAATCACTGTTGCTTTTACTTCCAACACTGATTTTAGAATGAGAGGCTAATTTGTAGATGCCAAATGAAGAGTTTGCTCTGGGTATTTGACTTATCCAAGTTTCTTCTACTGCTACAGGCTGCGAATCAATGACATTTGTTTCACTGTCATTTGATAGCAATTTGGTTTTATTATTTAAATTTTTTTTCTGTTTTTATAATGGGGGCATATGATCCAACACTCAAGCCCTCTTGGTTAAGGGCCACTGGCTGGACCAAATGAACCAGTACAGCAGAAAATTATGTCCATTTTTAGAATGTATTTGGGCATATGAACGAAACAATTTCCTTTTAACAAACAAACTTTAGTTCTAACCAAACTTGATTTCTTGACTGACAATGAAAAGCACACTTAGAAAGACATGTTCATGTGGGCTCAGCATGTTTTTAAATTGATGTATGGTTTGAAGGACAGTATTTGCCCTTTCAGTCCAACCCTGGTGTTTATATGCAAAGTTTTGTGGCTGAAATATCCCACCTAGAGAAATCCATAAAATTCTGATCCTGTTTTATTCATGGCTGGGGATTATTGACTCTGCATTACAGTTCAAGACTAACTATAAATTTAAAGAAATTCATTTGTTCTGGATATAGCCAAATTGTATAGATGAAAAGGGAGTTTTAAATCCTGGTGTATATATATGTTTTCCCTGATTCCTACGGCCAGCCTGCTGTGTTAGTAAAGGTGACCTGGCCACAGAAGAATTTCTGTGTAATGATTTTACATGGGAGAAAACACTGTGACCAGGACACCTCATGGTACTTGCAGATATCCTTTGCTTACTCAAATACTTTCATGTAAGAAGAATACCAGGGAAAAGAAGAGAGGACAATTAATAAAAAAGAGAAAGGGAAAAAGTAGGGAGAAGGCAATGCCTGCCCAAGATCTGCTCTGTGAGAGGACTCCAACTCCAACATCAGGTTTCCAAGAGCAAGGTGGAACCATAAAGGCTTGCTGCCAGGATTGGGTTGGATCTCAGGCTGATGGTGATGTTACTGAAATACTGAAATATGGATGCAATTTACAGTTTACTAATTGCTTTTCTCTTAAATGGAAAATAAATGGATAGCCTGTTTCCATAGAGGAACTGTAAATGGACACAAACTGAAGAATAACTATAACTGGAGAGTTACAGATTAATCTACATTTTAATTTTTTTAATTAATGTATCTATTAATAAATAAGTTGGGTATATTTATGGACTTATATATATTAAAGGATAACTCATAATATCCTCACCTAAAAAAAATCAAAAGGTTTTTGCTGTTTTAGCACAGATAGATCATCTGTTTTAGCACAGATAAATCATCTGTAGACTTTTGCAATCAATAGACACAGTAGGCAAGGTAATTAAACACAAACTATTACTTTGGGGTTCCATTCACTTGGGAATCATCTGACATAAAAAAAGTTGTCTCCTCATGAATGAAATTGCTTAAATCCTACCTCAGACAATCTCCAGTAGCAGACATAACAGGAAAAAAAGCAACTGAATGTACACATCACTGTACTGCCCTTTTCTTACTTTAGTTTGTAAAATATGCTGTGCATTATTCATATCTTGGCATTTCTTTGCTCTCTAAACCACAGTGTCTCCTAAGAAGCAGCAATAAGATGCTTCATGTAAGAAACAGGGGCTCATGCTGCTTAATGCATACCTTAAGAAAGAGCTACCAACCTAGCATGGCCACCTGAAATATTGGTTCTCTGTATTTTGGGTGAGGATAAAATACCTTAAAAAACTTGCTCTAGACATTTAGGAAGGTTGGAGATTAGCTGCCTATCCCAACCTGTGAAGCTACATCCCTGTAGAGCAGATGATTGCACACCAGGATGGCTGGATGAGGAAAAACCCCCAAAAAGGGCAAGCATTTTAGCGACTGGGCAGAGGGTCTGGGCACCCCTCAGAGCAGGCCATCTTCTGGAGGACAATACCAACAGGAGGCACTAGGAGCTTCCTTAAATCCTGGGCAAAGCAGGAAGGGGGCAGACCCATGGGGAGCAGACAGTCTTCTGCATGAGAGGTTTGGGACAAGATATGTTTTATACATTCAAGTTAGTTTACTTCTAGGAATAAAACTTCAGAGCTAAAGGAAATGGACTGAAATCTTGTGGCTGCTGCTAATACACTGAATTGCTGAATTGGCACATGGACCCCTGTCTCTGGTACTGACTTGTACCTAAAGCACCTATTTCCCACCTCCAGCCTGCTGGGCAGAGTCTTGCTTTAAGCCTGGTGGTACAGAAACACTGCCTGGATACAAATTTCTACAAACAGTAAAAACGACAGTGTGTTTTTGGTCTTTTAAGGGAAAAGTTTTGAAAGTTGCTGTATGGAGTTAAGAAGATGTGTGGTGCTAAAAATAATGGGCATGGTGCTCCTGGTTCCCGTAGGTGTTGTGGAAAATTCCAGCCAGAGGGCCAAGATTTGGCTGCAGGTATGAACTGACTCACTTGGCCAAACAGGAACACATTAATGCACAGGAACATACTTATGACTGCTTTCCACCTTAAAAGCAGATCTAATCTGTGTGATGAGGAGAGAGGAAATATAAACACAGCGTTCTCAGCTGCAAGTTCCCTCCTCAGATGTCCTGCTGCTGCCCTACTGGCAAAGAACCAGACCAGCAAGAGCCCTTTGCTTGCAGAAGTCTCTGATTAGATCCCAGCAAAACTATGGCTTCCCTCCTTCCCTGCCTGCAGTTCCTAGGAGATCAAGCTGGGATTTGACTCCTAATTGAAACAATTTTGTTTAGCATCAGTATTTGTGGCCGTCAAGTTAAATAAACCACCAGTCAAGTCCAAACAAACAGCTTCCCTGTCATCTATACATTATTGCTCCTGCAACTTTTGCCACATTGAATCTGGTAATTTTCTGTTCTGTGGGATGTTTGTTTCATAGCAGAAGGGGAAAAGAGAAGAGACAAATTGTCCTGCCTGAGGACTGCTCTGTTCTTGACCAAAAAGTACTCCTAGAGCATAAAACTGAACTTTCCATTGTGTCCCTATGGGATTAGCTATGTTTAGACTTCTCTGCAGCCTTGCTAAGGAAAGAGAAAGAAAAGACAAACAAAGCACTTGCTTCTTGCAGTGCTCTGAAATGCACAGAGAGGTTTCTCTTTTCTGATTTTACAAGCAAAGATAACCATTAATATTCCTTAACAAGCATCCAAAGCTAAACCCCATTTTCTACAAAGCCAGTTATCTTAATCTGAAATTCTTGGAAGACTAAAAAGTTTCTTTGCCATAATGCAATACTATAAATACTGCTGGTTCAAAGCCAGTACACAAGAAGCCTGCCTTTATAAAAAAAAAAAACACAGGGCTTTACGTATTCCTTCAAGTGGACTCTTGAGTTATCGTAACTTTGTTTTAGTGTGGGAAGTCTCAGAAGTCTGGATAGTTTTATCCAAACAGTTTTTATACAAATCCGCCTGCAATGTCTTGCGATCGTACTTGGAAACAGGATTTTCAGTAACTGCTTTATCTGGAAATATTATCAAAACAAAGCTTCTTGCAAAACAGACTTCCTCACTAACTGGAAATACAAAAAAAGAAAAAAATAGGGATTTTTTTTTTTTCTCCTGAACTTCTTAGAAGATTTGAGCTGAACTTTATCCTGAAGTAAACATTTGGACCTTTACCACTTGATGTAACCTTAAATTCTGATAAATATTACTCAAAACAATACATCACCTTAGCTGCAGTTTACATACACACAATAACTCCTTCTCCCTATCCACTGCTTTAAAAATATTAGGAAGAATACTTTATGAAAGAAATCCCAAATAACTCACAAAAGTTGACTACACCAACAAAGGCATTTAAGACATGTAAACATTTTCAAATGACCCACAGGAAGGAATGGCAATAATTTTGATATAAAATGTAAGTGCCTTATGGCTTGGAGAGAACTTGCACCATGAAAGGACTCTGAGTCAGACTATCATCACAAACCCTGTCTTGCTTTTGGTTTGCTTTGGATTTTATAGATCACTTCAATCTTGAAATTTTTCATATCACAGGGTATGAACAAAAAGCAGTTCCTCCATTTGCTCACCAGGGTCTCTGTGATTTTTTTGTGATTTACAATTCATCTTCCCAGCCTTTATTTTTTGCTCTCCCTGGCCTCTTTAAGACACCCCCCAGCAGCAGCAGGGGAGGATGGCAGGAGGCACTGAGTGCAAAGCCTGGTGTGCTGCCAAAAGCTTAAAGTAAACAAAGCTGAAACAGGAGAGGAAATCTATTAACTGCTTTCCAGTCTTGAGGCTCCTTACTGCAAAACCAGTGAATGGAATAAACACTGGCAAAAGGGATATTAAGTACATCACAGGTTCACTGCTGGGTTGGTTACCTCGAGATAAGTGAGAAAGGGCAATAACAAAGCCCAGCTGGTGTTCCCAGCTCAGTGGCCATATCCTGGCCCACCAAAGATGTTTTGGATTTGCCTTTCTCACATAGTCCAGCATGAGTAGTTTGTCATATATATAAAAAAAGTTCTTATTTACAATTTTATCTTTATTTATCTATGAAATTGATAGGTTTAAAAATTACAATTTTAGAAAGTCTGTTCACATTATGTGCCAGACAGGAGTCCCCTGATCCCTTTCCTGTGCAAACATGAACTGTAGCTTCCCTTTTCAGTAAGACATGGCACTACTTGGCATTTAAGAGCTCAGACAACAGCAGTAAGACTTTATTAGCATTTTATTTTCAGGATGGTTTGCTTGAAGGCCAGTAATTGCCCTCTCCCTGATTTGCTAGCCTGAGCAAATGACAGAGCCATCAGTCCATGGATATGTCACGTAAACATCCCATTTTCTTTTCTTCCCTTCCCATTAGCATGCCACACATCAGGGCTGACACTTGGGTTGCACAGATGAGCTCCAACATTACTGTACAATTGCTGGAAATAAAAGCATTATACCAACTCTTTGATCAGGTGTGAGAAGTTCTCATGCCTGAAGAGTTTTTTTATTTGTCTGATTTTTGATTTATTGCTATAAAGTGCCTTTTCTTCATTTCTTTCTTCTACGTAACCATCAAGTACTAGCTACCTCTGCAAGATGAGCACAGGTCTAGGTGGAGCTGGGCATAGCAACTGCTGCACTGTGTGTTTAGGTAACATCTTTATTATGGAAAGCTTCATAAAGGAAGACAAAACAACGCTTATTCTGTAGAGTTTTCCAGCCAAAGAACAGAAGCAACCTAAGTAAATGGCAGAATAGGTATAAATGTTAAACATCCAGTGTACTTTCTCTGCCCTTGACTGTTTGAATTACAGACTTTTTCCCAGCAGGAATGTGAGGAAGGATTCAATCAACGGGAAGATATTCAGTGAGAATCTCCTGCAGGTTTCAGTACAGAAATTTATGTCAGAAGTGGATATGAAGGCTAGCATGCTGAAGTAGTTGGCATATCCCTATTGACTTTCTGCTGAACAATTTTCCTTTCTTCTTTCTATTCCTCCTTTCAACCTCTGCCCTTACATCCCACCTTCACCTCCAGCTGATATTCCTTTCTCCTCCTCCACCTCATAAAAATCAGGTAGAAGTTTAACCAGCCTAGAAATATTTCTAAAGGGTATCCAAGTAATTCCTGGTCTTTGGGACCAGGTTCAAGAAGTGAGACTGTGACATGCAAAATTTGGCATATTGAATACATGGAATTTTCCAAAGCTACAATTACAGGTTAGTGTATAAATCAAGTGTTGACACATTCTTTTCTAGAACACAATTTCTCTCTATCTATGGTTCTAATACTGGAGCAACAATGGTGGGCTTCCATATGAATCCAACATATGCTCCCTTTCTAAGTAAACACTGTATGAAACCTGAATGAAATACTTACGCTTCAGGATGTTTCTTTGCTCCAGCTCTTCAGTTGTGGGCCTCTGGCTAAGTCTCCTGTGAGAACAAAGTAAGTGACTGATTTAAAACCAAATCTAAATGATGTAGTAGGATTTGTAATACAGATTAAATAATGTAATTTCTGGAAGTAATTTCCAGCCAGTTACAATAACTGCTCATGCAACCAAGAGTGGCCATTTGTTTTAAAAGATGTTGCCATTTGAACACATGAATAACTGATACTTGAATAATATTACAGAATTTGTATCAACAAATTTAAAGTCCTCACAGGTATAAATTTATTAATGAATCCATAAACCTTCTTTGTTCCCAAGCACCATCATTATAGTCAATTATGCAACTGTTCGATTCTTCTCAGATATTTTGAATGAATTTTTGTATTTTTGATATTTTGAAGTCTTACTAAAGTTTTAAAAAAAAAAACAAAACCAACAAAGCCCATCAGTTGTTCATTCCTCATTAATTTGTATGTACAATACAATTGGGAGCTTTACCTGAAACCTAATGCTTTTTAGTTACCTACATATAAAAACTGCCATTACAAAAAATCCCAAACTGAATGATTAATTTCCTGATTTGTACTGGGGAGACCATGGTTGATGTTGTCTCTGTGTTTACTAAACAAGTCCACTTGTTCACTTGAGGAAAGGAGCAAGAAAAATTTCAGCAGTAAAACTTATTCTGCAGGTGTGTTCAAGATAGATGTCTCTCTGTTCATCAGCACTCACACAGCTCCCTACAGACTGTCTTTAGCCTTGTGACACTCTTCCAATTCAAATTACTCTTGGACCTACAGATTTGTCCCAGAGGACTGGCAGGTTTACCACAGGTGAAGAGTCCCAGGTGTAGCAAGTCCCAGGTGGGGACCGGACTCAACCCTGACTGAGCTGTGGGAACCGATTTTCCCCCAGACCTTGATGCTGCCAGGTGCTGACCGCCTTGCCAGGAATTTTTAAGGAACTGACATCAAACTTGGATGTGGTTTTGGGTAGGAGCACAGCCCTGATGCACACAGATGTTGTCTCCTGCCACCAAAGCAGAGCTGTGTGCGTTGCCTTTCAGATCTCCAGCAGAACCCACAAAGCAGCTTCTGCAGTTCCAGTCTGCCTGGAGGACTGACAAGCAGGATATGATCACCAGAGCTGGGATTTGTTCTGGAAAGCAGTGATAACAACCATGCCGCTTTATTAGCAGAAGAAAAATGACTCTTGGGCTCTACACAGTAGATGTATCACTCTTACAGCTCAGTAATGAAATAGCTGCCTTGGCCAGACACCCAGTTCACAGAGCAACCCAGCTCATCTTCTGGGTATTGATGCAGGGTTGCGTACTCTGTACTGGAGCTGGACTACTCTGTATCTGGGAATCGCCAACAAACAGGACATCATCCAAATCTGGACAGCATTCCTGAGCCAAACAGAAACGAGGACAGGTCTAGAAAAATAAAGGCATGCTGTAGTCTATTCTCAGAGACCACAAAAGCCAAAATAAACATGAAGATTTTTTTTTTTTTAAAACCTGTAAAAGGCAAGTGAATTTTTTTATGCAATGTTCTCAAGTCCAGAGGGAGACAGTAACATATATCCCACAGTTCAACAGCTTGAGAAAGACATGCCTCAGAGGTGGGCACAGTAAAACACTAAACACTGACGGGCTCAACTTCTTTTGCTGGAATCAGCATTTGATATGAAAGAATGAAGGAATTGGAGAGCCAGGGGAGGAAGAGAAGGATCAGAAAGGACAACATGCACAAGGGGCAGCATGCTTTATGGGTCAGGAACTACTGCTCTGTCTGAGATGGATATACAAGTGGAAGTTCTACTAACAAATTTGAGAAAGAACCTGAACCACAGCACTGATTATTGTGGACTCATTCTTACCCTCTTCCTCTTCTTTGCTTTTTTCAGCCAAAGTACTCAAAACCCCAAAAGCTCAGATTTTGTTTTTTGCAGGACAACAAATCTATTATTGACAGTTTAAAGTTTTTTGAGAAATAAAAACACCATTTTCCAGGCAGTTGTACCACAAAGATCCTGCAGTGCATATTGGGCTGCATTTAAAACATGAACCCAGTGTTCTCAGTTCTCTTCCTCCACCTCCACCCAGTGAAACCACATTTACCCTGTGACTGATACCTCACTAGCTTCGTTCCAATCTGATGTCTGATTTCCTGCCTCTCCTCTTCAGATGTACGCTGCAAGATGTTTTTGTCTTCTAACTCTTTCTTAGATGGTCTGTTGCCAAGTTTGATAGCAAGAGTATCCCTACGACGAATTTTACTTGCCAAAGAGCCTGAGGAAAGGAGTAGGGTAGATTCAGTTCATTCATGCTCAGGTTACAGACACAAACTCTGAGTAAGAACTTCAATACCTCCCCAAAGCAACCTTGTTCCCACATGTAGGAGAAGAATTCTAATTAACATCAAAAGAAAATTTTTAGCTCAGTTCATGAAAATAAAAAGCTAAAAGGCTTGGAGGAAAAAGCTAACAGCCAAATTGATACAAACATCACACATCTGTGAAGTGATAGGATAAAAATGACAAATCTACACTAAAATGTCTTTGAAGTCTAATACATTACAGGTTGGCTTATTTATCTACTTAGTATATTTAGCAACCTGCTGCTCTTTTACTTCAGCCTTAAATGGTTTAGTCCCATTCTATCATCATTTCCCTCATTCTTTCAAATTTTTTTTCAATCAATTACCACTTAGTTCTTTTATAGTGCTTTCCATCTCTAAGTTATTTGTAAATTAAAACAAAAAATACAGCTTAGAAAAGCGCTCTGAGTGCTTGTAAAGTAACCTAGGCAGTAGTGCCCAGACACTGAAGCCATCTGTTCTCCATAAAACTGACACTCTGGGGACAAGGGCTTTGCAGCTTGGCCAGCATTAGCTTCAGAGTGCTGTGGAAGGAAGGGCATTTTTCACAGCCTTTGTAGTATTCCCTTTGTGCCTTGAATTCTGACTGAGGTGGGCTACATATGCCCTAGGTTGGCAGATTTTCACTCTGTAGGGCAGTTTGGTGAGACCACAGGCTCCCAGCTCACCTCTCATAAGACACTGTACTGCTGTGTGAACACATGAACTTTTGGTTTTTATCACTCTGGGCTGTATTCAAACCCAACACAGAACTGCAGAAGACTTCAGCCTCTTGAGCTACCTGGCACTTCACCTTCTCCTGCACCAGTGGCCAAGATTAAAAAAACAAACATGTTAATTTTACCTCATGCCACTTTGGCACACTGGACCTTGGTGTTCAGGCCTTCTTTGCCGAGCACAGTGAAGCACCTCCTCCAGAAAAGCTGTGAGCAAGGCTCTCAAACTATGGTTTGATGGTGATTTCATACTGACATAAGGCCACCCTGGAGGAGGTAGAGGGAAGGCTGCCTCCTTCCTGCTCCTGACAGCCTGCTGCTGCCACCTTTTTTGCCCAAGCAAAGGAGAAGCCTTTGGGTGAGCTGGGGCAGGGAACCACAGATTCTATTGAAAATCAGCTCAACAACAGCTGCTCTGGCAAAAATAAATATGAACTTTAGCCTAAGGAAAGAACAGCTGGGAGCAGGGATTAGGCAGAAATGGGAGCAGGACAACCCCTTCAGCACAGCAGGGCATCTGCCCTGTTTGGGTGGTGATACAGTCATGACTCTAGATGAAATTTCAAAGCTGTAAAACTTAGATGTAATCTACTGTGATCTGCTCTGTCTGCTAAGGTTGCTCCAATGCTTAAAACATCCTGATCAAAGAGGTACAAGTGACTTTCAGACAGTGAAGCTGCTGACTGATGGGCTTCCTCTGTCATCCACCACACCTGTAACTCCCACAAGGAACTCATGAGGGGGGGCAAGCCAAATGAATGGCTTGTGATGCCCTAAGGCAGAGGCCTTGTTCCACCCTCATGTCCTTTGGAGCCTGTTCCTTCCACCTCCACTCTCCTCCATGCAATGATTGATCTGCTCTCACTCATGTACAGGCCCCAGCAGGTTTCTGATCATGATTGCCCAGGAGAAGCAGGACACTCATTTCTCAATAGTGACACAATACTAAATCCCTTAAAAGCATTCCCTGCAGCCATTCCTCTCTCTGCCTCACAATAGCATGGGTCAGGCATGCTCACAAAATGCAATCTGTGAAAGGCAGCCCACAGCTTCTGGGCAGGATGCTTACTTTCAGTACTTGCATTCTCATCATCGTCATCATCGTCATCATCTGTGTACAGGATCGGCCCGTCTGAGTCCGAATCACTGCCATGGCTCTCTCTGCTACTTTCGCTCTCAGGAGGGGCAGCAGCGTCAGAAGCCTCCTCCACTGCTTCAGAGAACGCTTGATCTGGAGCCTCCCCTTCTTGGTCTTCTTTGGTAGCCAAGCTGTTTATTCATGACACATTAATACAAGCAGAATAAAACACAAATGAGAAGCAATTGAATAAGCAAGGATGAAAATAAAAGTTCTGTTAAGCAAAGTAATTCCTTTCTAAAAAACATACATAGACATTTTTAACATATGCAGATATGTATGTCTCCATGTATGTGTGTTAGGAAAAAGGAATCTGGAATGATGTGCTGCATTAAAGACCGCATTAAGAAAAATCCTAATTGGTTTTTATTTCCTATAGGGTGGGAACCAGAGAGAAAACAGATCATAAAGCTGGGGGGTGAGAGGAGAAAGTTGGAGGGCAGACTGGAGTACAAAGTTTACTGTTCTGGAAGCCTAACCCTATTTATTGTAAATACAGTTTCACTGCAGCTGAGTTCAAAATGTTCATGCTCATCACTGATGAATGTAGTGATCAACAGCAGATTGTCCTTTGCCTTGGGAAAATCTTTATGTAAAGGAAGGGTAGAGCAGGGGGAGATGCAGCACTGGAATGTAGAGCTGGCAACAGATGTACCGGCAAGAATTTAAAGGACGGTCTCTAGGCTGCTGGCATCTAGACTAAACCCTCCTGGATTTATATAAAATATACTGATTTTTGTGGCAGAGAAAAGACAAATTAATAAGCCAGTTTCATTTTTCTGCCAACTATTTTGCTTAAAAAATGTAATTATGACTTTTCTCTTAACCAGTTTTTACAGTACCTGAGATTTAGATGAGTAACTAGGTAGTAAAAAACACCTATTTAAAGCCTGAAACCCTAATTTTCAAGTGTTCAAGTAAATTCAGCTATTGAACTGAGAACTACAGCAGTGAGATATTTAATGATACCTAGAGGAAAAAAAACTCTACAGAAAAGAAGCCACTTATAATCTAGCATCATTTCTTGTTTGCCTTTATGAGAAATAAATAAAAGAGTCATCAGCTTTGAGCTGAACTTTTGCTGACCCCAGTGCCAGCCACACAGTGAAGCAAGAGACAGGTCACGAGCAAGGACCTTCTGTGGAAACATGAGGTAGCACAGGTGAAAGGCTCAAAGGCACAGGGAAGGAACAGACTGTGCTGGGCTGCAGCCCAAACTGTTCCCGGTTAGCAGAAGGAACAGAAGAGATCCCCACGTGCCTACAGTGCAAAGAAAGGTGGTTTCCTTGGCTGTGGTCTTACCGCTGCCCCAGGAGAGCCATACTGTCTCACCTTTCCGTGTCTTCTCCTCCGGCATCCGGAGCGCTGCCAAGGGCTGCGCTGCTCAGACTCTTGTCTGTGCCACACTCAGTCTGGAGGAGAGGCTTTGTGTCTGACCTGGGGCTGCGTGGCCCTGCCACACAGCTGTCTGGCACATCTTGGGCATCTGAGGAGCCAGCAGGCTGACTAGCTGCAGCAGGAAAAGGAGGTGGAAGTGGAGGTGGAGGAGGGGCAGCGGTGGGAGGAGGGGGCACAACAAGCTTGCTCGACTGGTCTGCATTCTCCATTTCAAAAATTACTATGGGAGTTTGTTCAGGCTTGGGTTTTTCTGCCTTTGCTTCCAAACCGTCGGCTGTCGCAGCTGAGGGGGAAGAAGCAGCCCCATCTGGTGCTGTTCGTGGGGCTGACTGTTTCCCAGGTTTTTTCTTGCCCCTGGGAGTCCCTGATGTGCCAGATTTGCTGGAAGTCTCCTTAGAGGCTTTGGGATGAGATGATGTGGACGAAGGAGATGGTGATGAAGAAGACTTGGAGACTGGTAGTTTTTTTGCATGAGAGGAACCAGCTAAAACAAGAAAAGAAAGACATTTTACAGTCTTGCAATTATATGATTTTTGCACTGTATTTTCTGCATGGATTGCCTTGTGCTGGTCTTTAAAAAATAAAAAAATTACACTCGATTGACCCTTCTACAATACTTCATGTAAATGCGTGAGATGATTAAACCTTGCAGTTCCAATTTCACCTTTGTGTGGGAGACACTGAAATGATGAATACTTGCCCAAGAACAGCAGAGAGGACCAACCTTACACATGGGTAAGAGTTTGTTTTGAGCATTCTTCATTGGCCCATTACACCTGGCCTGGACATCATCTAAGAAGTCCACTACTTACTCTAAAAATATGTGTAGTGTCCTAGCCAAAAAAAAACAAACCACAAAACAAAACCCAAAAAGCTCCCTGGCAGAGAAAACTGCCTGACTTTTCCTACTACATGAACTTTTGGTCTCATCACTGTGAAAACCCTGTGACTTTCCTTGTACTTTTTGATGTACATCTGAGGACTGTTACTGAGTAGCAGTCAATTACCCTTCACAATGTTATTGCAACTGGTGTTCTCCTACTTAATGAAAAACAGCAGAGGGGCAGCAAAACAAGGTGTACTTTCAATTCCAGCTGGGTCTGTCCATAAGAGAGAGGCAGAAACCACTGCTGTCACTCTGCACAAATGGCCTTCAGAAGGGAGGAGGCACTGAAGGCCTCCTGTATGTACTGGAAGCTTTCATTTTACCAGTGACCAGCTTGGGCAGCCTTGCAAATGTAGTGAAACAAGGTTTGACAGTAGCTGTACAAGCTGGCCAAGCTGGCTGTTTAATCCTGTGGTACTTACCATACTGAAACATACATGTATAATGAATCTGACCAGAGATTTCAGCCAGCCTGCATTTCCATGTGCATTCCAGCCACATTTCTGATTGCTGTGTTAATGCACCCATCACCTGAGATGGGAGCTTCAAAACTTCTAACTTCCATTTAAAAAGCAATAAAAATGACAACTATCTAACAGTTCAGTCCTTTTCATCAACGTGCATCCGACTCAAACCCTTCTGATGGAGTAAAAATTCATTAACTTCCAGAGAACAATTGAAAGCGTTATAAAGTTACATAGCAGCCTTCTGGCAAAGCTTACTGAGTAAAACAGAAAGCTGTAATAGGAATCTGCTGAAAGGCCTACTTTACTTATAAACATTTAAATAAAAACACCCCCGAGCAGACTGGGAGAGAATCAAAGTGCAGATACTGGCCATAATAAGTTCGTGATATAAAAACAGTTTTCACAGTGAGCCTGTTCTCAAAGGAGATGGAAACAAATTCAAAAGACACATTTTATTGTTCTCTTCTGTAGCTGTTATGGTTTATAAACATTTAGAGTGCTGTGAAACTTTCAGTACATCCAAAAAAAAAATCATAGAAACTTCAGGCAAATCACTGTTCCTCTTAGTGCTCCCAGGTGACTGTAAGGGGCACTGTCTTGAATCGACTGTTACTGCACTTGTCTTCCCTCATCAGGTACAAATCACTCAATTTGCAATTTACATGCAAAAAAAAAAAAAAAATGAAGCAGAAAAATGGCATAGGCAGAAGTTCATAATTACAGTAGAAATAGATGGTGCTTCCAAACTGCATATTATTTAACAGAAATCTTACTGAGTAGGTGGATGGTAGAAAGAAAAGGCTCTGTTCAGATCCACTTCAGTGCAGGCTGGAGGTCAACAGAACCAGTTACATGCTTACACTTAAGAACTGCAGCATAATATAAATATATGGCCACACAATTGTGGCTGGGAAAATGTCAAAACATGTTTCCATTGTAAAAGTCCTTACATTATTCTCAGAACCTGCAATTAGATACAGAAGCTTAAAAGATTTCTCCCACAGAAAACCCCCCTACGCATCCACATGGGTCAAAAGTGCTATTGCTGTCGTTGTTTTTGACTGGGCTGGCTGACAATTTTCTGTCAGGCGTCTTTTCCAGTAGAAGATTTGAATTCTTATTAAATGAAAAATTTAATGGCTGTTGTTTGCCCTTTGGCATACATCCATGCCTACATTTAAGTCCCATTCTCCCAATTCCACTATTTCAGTAAGGAAACCTTCTGTGTTGCCCTCAGGAGAGCCATGGCTCAGTTGTTACTCATATTCCTCTCCTCCTTCATGGGACCTGATCCCTGGCTGCATCATGTGCTCACTTTCATAGGGATCTGGCAAACCTCCTGTATTAATAGTGTTCCAAACCAGCTCTACTCACTAAGTACTGCCCCACTTTGAATGCACACAATGTATTTTTAATGTTGGAAGAAATTAGCAGTAGAATAAGGGATATTTGTGGATATATTTTACATCTGTATGGTCTCCAAGCATTGCCTGACATTTCAGCAAAGCTAACAAAAGACAAATCTGCAACCTAAATGTGTTTTAATCTAAAAAGTCAGGTGACCCTGACAGCTTGTTACCAACCACTGGTATAAACATTTCTTTATGTGATGGATTGTTTTATTTCCGAAAGGTCTGCTGCTACAAGGCTGCTCCACCTAGGAGGAGCTGAGTTTTTCAGCTGCATGTGAAACACAAGCAGCAAAATCTGGATTTTCAAAATGTTTATTCTTGTAGTCGTCTGATGTAGTAGGACAGTTAATACCAAGTAAATGGATATTTTATGGCAAAGTTATTATGGTAACTCTAGAAGCCTTGCAATGTTTTCAAACAGTCCTCTTCTGCGTGCTTCAAATACAAAATGTGCCAAAATGTACAAGCTGTGAAGAGAAATACTTGCAGACAAAACTGGAGGGACTGGAGAGCTTTCAAAGACAGACAGAGATTGAAAACACAAGGCTTCTATAAATTTGCCAATACATATATGGGGCCCATTCATCACAATACTGCTTGTGTTCAAATGACGTGTGGATGTTTTAATTTTGGTCATTATCTACTCTGCAACCATTCAAACTCATGGTCAGTACCTTAAGAGCATCCACCTATACTCTTTAATCTTGCATAGCTGCTGAATTTTGGTTTAATAGTGCGGTGATAAACACATGTGCTATGTGCCTAATGATTGATATTTTCCATTTCCAGTACCTACTTAGAATCACAGCACCTGAGGGAAGCCTGGTCTTTTCTAATGGTTGTAAAGTTAATTTTTTTTTTTCTTTGTCAGCTAGATCAACTGCTATTCAACAGTCTTTTAAGTTGTCTTCATGGTTTTATTCTTAGTTTCTTTGTGATCTTGTAATATTGTAAAATTAATTGGAATAGTTGATACTTCCAGTAGAAAGTTACAGCAACACCAAATTAGTTTTACTTGGGGGTAACTCATGCTTGGTTTCAGGAGTCACTTTCTTTCCTGCTGATTCCTGAGCTGATTCTCTGTGTCATTTTTTTGAACTTGAACTGGGAACCCAGCGTTGTCTCTGACGTGCTCGGTGTTGCACGTGGGTTCATTAAACGACGAGTGTGTGTGTTGTTTGGGGGATTTGTGGCCAGCAGAACCAGAGCCCAGCAGGAAGCACTCTACAAACATCCATGGCATGCTCTTCACTAACGTTACTACGTACTGAGGCACAAGTCACCGTAAGAGCAAGGCAAGCAGCCCCATGCACATGCACCCACCGTAACTGCACTGCCTGGGCAGTACTCACCAGCTTCTCGATTTGCACTGGCACCTGTTGGCTTGGGCGGCGGGAGAGGAGGCTGCTTAGCAGGAGCCTTTCCCTTTTTTTTAGCATGAGGGGCTTCGTTACCCTTATGGCTGGTGGTGGTGGAAGCAGCAATGGCATTTTTTGGTGGTAGCGGAGCTTTTTTAGGTTTAGGCTTAGGCTTAGGTAGTGGTGGAGCAGGGGATGTCGGTATTTCTGGGCAGTGATCAGTGCTCTCTATGGATAAGAAAGTGAACAGAAGCCAACTGACACAGACATACACCACGTAAAGTCAACAGCAAGCCTCACAACAGTGACTACTTCTGCTGCTTGAGACCTTGGGAATCAGGAGAGACTTCAGCTTCCACCTGTTAATCAAGTATTATCTCAGAAGAAAATTACTGTTCACCTCAATTCAAGACTTCCTCATAGAAAATATTTACCTGGAACTTCTCTCAGACACATATTCTAGACCTACAAAGATCAGCCTTTACATTCAGTAACCCAAACCAGAGTGTTGTCTTCAAACTAAACAAGGTCATGCTATTTACTTCTCTAACAAATCTCCTCAGCTTCTTTTCAACCCTACCCACCCCAAGATCAACAGGCTATAAAACTCACATTCATGTGAACCTGAATGTGAACAGAGCTATTCTCTCAGCCACAGGCTTAAACATGGATATATAGCAGAAATTTTCCAAATTTTCCCCTGAAGCAACCCATTCTTCTGAGCTGCACACTGCTTGCTCTTAGGAGCTTTATTTTGGGTAACTTCCTCAGGGCATTTCTACTCTTCAGAAACAAATGAAGCTAAATAAGATAGGTTATCATTTGGCATGGAAATGCTCTCCCCTCCTGCAGGTCCTTTGGGTACTGTTACACAACTGCACTTTCAAGAGCCTAGAGTTCATTAGCCAGCAGGAATTTGATCTTTAAATCGTGCTGTGCAATAGGAATGGCTGTGCAGAGTGAAAGAGGACACTGAGGACCCAATATCCACAATCTGAAATCCACATTTCAGGAGACCTGACTTTGGACTGTCCTCTGGCTAGTTCTGTAGATTGCATGACTAGTGGTGGATGGACTACAAGTTCCTGAGTGCATCTTTTGACTTAGTTTTGTCCAAAAGAAACCTGGTTTGTTTCTGGCCTGCAAACCAGAGAAGAGTGAGGATGACCAGGAAATTAATTTTAAAAGTGCCTACCTAATACCAGCTGTAATGATAATACAGGTGAGCCATTTACCATCAACATACAATTTTGCAACATAATCACTGTAAAACTTGGTGTTCCCGGGTGGGAAGAGTTACAGCTCCCAGATGGAAATCTTTATCTATTCAATTAAACCAATTCTGTGCCCATTTGGTCTCAAGATAGCCTTCCAAAACTTTCTGGAAAAGGAAATCATAGAAGCAAGAGCATTCCATCAGAACCACACAGGCTTTGTTTGCATGTTACTAAAAACTATGACTGGGAAAGAAAGAAGACAAGCAAATTCTGCAAAGACTTTTTCCTATCACCCAAGAGAAAACCATTTCATTTCTTACAGTACATTCCTATTAGAGACTCACTCTTAACACACATTAAATGGATGTCCTCATCTCTCTTCTCTCCCATGTAAAAGATTCCCAAGGGATAAGCAACACATTTTAAGATTAGTAGATGAAGGACAAAATGTGTTAGACAACAAAGACATTCTTCCTCTCAGAAACAAAACCTTTCCAACTTCTAGCTTAAGGTTTGTTAACATGAACCTAATGCATCACCTGCAGTTATTAAAACCAACATGCACACATGACTTCATGAACTGGAGGAATTAACATTAACTGCCCAGAGTCCTCATTTTTTCCCAGCCTGTTATAGACTAATATGCTTTTGCTAAAGCTTTGAAAGAATTGTCTCATAGAAACCTTTTCCAATTTTCAAACAAAGTCTTTTGAGCAGAGCTTCTTGTACCATCTCTTTGTTTTCCATAGAAAGGCTTCAGATGGAGAAAGGAACATGCTTGTCTGTTACATTTTGACCTCTTTTACAGCAAAAAGGTCTCCTTGTGAAATTCTACCTACCTTCATTCAAGGTTGAAATGCTGATATAATTCTGAAAAAGCAGGACATTTTAAAATTTGATATCCATTAATAACAAATATGGGAAGAGAAGATATGATTTTGTACTTTGAAGATCCTGAGGGATGTCAGGATGATCAGAAATAATTATGTGTAAACAATTCTTTGCTATATGTATTAACTAAAGATCCATAATGATAAATTTTATTTACTAGTAAGAAATAATTTAAAACATGTTTACTCATATACCATTACTGTGTTTTGTTTTAGGTCATCAGTAGAGAAAATGTTAAAAACAGAACTATAACCTAGGAAAAGTAATACACCTTTCACCATATCCTAAAGTAATATAGTCAATCTACACTAAACTATATAACTGATTAAATAATGTATATCAGAATTTATCTTCTGAATCAGGAAAAAAGGTACAAAATAAAACAAAATATGAGGCTAAAGCTTTATCTAGTTGCAAATAAACACATCCTAGTGACAACCAATAATTTTCAATTTTTATTTAGACAAATAACTAAAAACTATAAATGAAAACCAAAGCTGGAGCAGTTCATTCACATCAAAGTTCTTGCTTGCAGACTTCAACTGTGATTAAAACTGGCGATTTATATAGCATTTATTTTAACAGAAATGCCTTGCCATTACTGGAATACTATCTTTGTCTGAGACAGTTCTTTTCATTCTCTTATGTACCTCATTCCAAAGACTGGCAGAGTGGCAGACTCCCGCACAGCCAGATCCTACTTGCTCAGGTAGTTACACCTCTCATCCAGTCCTGACTGCCCCTTGATTACCAGCAAACCTTTTTTTTTACTCACAGCCAGGAGGAAATCTGTGGTGAAGATTATTATCTTTGACTATGTTGTTCCTCCTGGCACCTTATTAGCTTTGCTGCTTTTACCTTTGTTAGCTTCATTTTTTTATCTCAGTGTCAGTCTGATTTTGCCCATAGTACAGCTTCTCATTTACTTGAGACAGATTCCCTATTCCTACCTGACCAGTCCATTATATCAGCTTTTGAAAGTGACAAGCCAAGTTTAAAGCAGATGCTTTTCATAACTTTTCCTCTGTTGACCTTCAAGCTTTGTGAATATTCACTGACTGCCCTCCCTCAAACTCCCCTCTGCTGTGATGCCGAAGCTGACAATATTTAGGCTTCCAGTACTGTGCTTTTTATTCTGGTCTGGTGTCCTCTTGTTTTCCAGTGCCTAATCATAATGTCCTTTCTTTTACTGCAAGTCCATTGGAAAATTTTTGTGGTTTACTGCATCTATGTAAGATGCTATAATAAATGTCTGGTATATACAGAAACACTGTAGTAATACAAATAACTAATAACTGCCACAGGAGCTTGATCTTGAACAATGACAGAGATGGTCTGATGTCTGTAAATGGCTACAGATACAATTATGTTGTAATTGTACCTCTCTAACATGATTCTACTTGAACATGGACCCTTGGTCTTCCTGCCTGCTCTTTGTTTTGCCAAAACAAGGAGGCATCTGAATCAGTTCAGACCCATCTATTTGTTCAAACCAATCCCCCAGGTACCTCAGGACCAGCTGCAACACACTTCTATTGCTGCTGTTTTTCTTAATCTAGACATCTGTTCATCAAGAGCTGACCTTTTAACAAAAGGTCTCCAAAATATATCAGATAGGAATATCTTTTATCCACTGCTGCCTTGATGGAAATAACTGCTGTAAAAGCAACTTGCCTATAAATTACTTCTTTAACAGGAAAGCAAATGTTAATATCTCATGAAAAATTTGGACCAATAATATATTTATATTTAGAATAAATTTTCCAAAGGCCAGATTTTCAAGAAATCTCACTTTCAAACCAGATTTTCTTGTTTCCAGAAATTGTGATTGGGGCCAGTCTCTAAACAAAACTCTGTTCTCATGTAAACACCTAAATGATGGTCAGATTTACAAAGTACTCAGTATACAACAGCTCCTGGGAGGACTCATCAAATCTGAAAGACTTTCAGAGAGATGCCAGTGTGCCACATGCACTAGAAAATCAGATTACTTATTTTCAAACTAAAATAAGTTTCGCAAAGGACTTTTGCAAATTCTGGACCTATGGATAATAATTGACCTATGCAAATCCTCAGCATACTTTCAGAAGATGACCTGTAAAATACAAGATTTTTTTCTTTACTTCTGTGAACTTCTAAGGGACAGAAGGCCAGAGCTTTCCTACCTGAGGATTTTGTCCTGCAGCACTGGTGTTTTTGTTTGTACAGCTTGAGCAGTGTTGTGGAGCTACCTGACAGAAAACCAGCAGCGCTGTAGCACAAGTGTATCATCTCCATCAACTGCAAAGCACCCTCCTCCTGGAGGATGAACACAACACACTGGAGAAACACTATGTAAAATGAAAGTTGGAAATAATGTGTGTTTGTTGTCTTCTGCAGGATGGCTCCCCACACAATGAAACTTCAAGAGTTTTGCAGATCATGAGTTTCCTTTGCAGACTGTGCAGAGAGCTGTGTTTTGATTAATCAAAATCCAGGAAGCTGTCAGTCAGGAACATGGGACACAGGACTAGACAAGGTGTCTTTTGTCACTTTTTTTGACTCGTTGATTGTGCTGATGCAGGTGGTAAACTCAGACAAATCCTTTCATAAACCTCAGATTTAACCAGCTCCATTTTTTGTTCCTGCTATTGCTAATAAAATTCTGTTCAAGAAAAGACCCATTCTAATTATTAGAAAGCATCCTTTAATTTCCACTCTAACTGCATTTCAAGACACTGTTTATTCCTTTCTTCTTGTGCCAGCATTGTCCTTTAGCCATGCTCTCTCCTGGCTGTTTACCAACTTGCAACATTCATCTAATGCTCTCAAGCTCTTTCAGGCTCTGTTTTGCTACACTGAACCAGGACAGCTGTCTCACAATGTTGTTTGCAGCTCTCTCTGCAGTTTGGAATTCATCTTTCTTGAAGATGGATAAGCTGATCTGCATGTATGCAGGCTTCTAGATCTTACTGGTTCTGTAATTTCAACAGCACTAAGTTCAAGAGGCCTTATAACAAGACAGTGTAGAAAATAGAAGGGAGAAAGGGAAAGGTGTTACATCTCACCTAAAGAAACCACATTCAGGTATTTTGCATTAGTTCCAAGATAAAAAAGGTAAAAAATCCTGACTGTCATCTT